TTTCTCATTTGAAGCCAGGAAAAGGCTAGTGACCTTTCTACCAGTGCTGGACTATGGTGATCTGCTTTATATGAATGCACCTGCCCATTACCTGAACAAGTTAGATGCCGCCTATCACAGTGCGCTGAGATTTGTTACTAATTGTAAAGCACTTACTCATCACTGTACCCTGTATGCCAGGGCAGGTCTGCCTTCACTTACTGTACGGAGGCTCAGTCATTGGTACATGTTTATTTATAAAGCCATGTTGGGTAAACTCCCATCGTACATCTCTGATCACACAGAGAGTTGCAGGTAGCTATTGCCTGAGATCACATGATGTGGTCTTGTTACATGTGCCAAGTGCAAGGACTGACTTAGGGACGACAGCTTTTATGTGCGCAGCTCCTCTTGCTTGGAACAGTCTTCAAAAATAAAGGTTTGAAATGAAATGAAATCCATGATCACAACATGTAACACACACGCCATATTCAACACAGACTAGTGTATGCAGGTGTAGTTCTCACTTTACTCACTTATCAGCGAGACACATCCACTGATGCAAGAGAGCAGCGTTTCAGCTCAGCAGTAAATACGTTGTGGAACTGATACTCAGGCTCTGTATTGGGATACGACACGATAATGGACTTTCTCTTGAAATGCAGCAGAGCCTTTGTAAGCTGGACTGAGCCATGTATTTTTAAAGTACTGAGTCTCATATACAAATTGGAAATTCACAGCAATAGTCATATAAATAAGCAGTCATGTCTCTCTTTGAATGAAATATTCACTAATAAATGAAGGTGACAAACCTAAGGGAGATTTAAAATGCTATATTGGAGTATGATATTACGTTTTAAATTATGCAGACTCACTTTTATTTAACTATACACATATCCCCAATTGTTTCATAACCTCTTAAAACATTCAGAGGCAGAAATATGTCACCAGTCTGTCAAAGGTAAATTGACAGTAGATTTGTAGATTGGCGAGTTCTCAATAAATAATCTATCATGTTAAAATCGATGGGAATTGTCTTTCAGATACTGCAACCTTAAAATGATGCATTTGGGCAAAAGTGTCCATCATTTACAAGCATTTTAAACGACTTTTGTATACAACTGTAATGGTTTCAGTTAATATCGTTATGAAGCCGTATTCAAAACAGGATAGCAAAAATCATGAAATTAAATAAGACCATAATTGCAATTTAAGAGCGTTATCAACATCCGAACAGGTTAAATATAAAGAAACACACTTTAATGTTAACATTTAATTTATACTTCCTATTAAAATACAATTCCAGGTGCATCGCTCTGCCCTCAGGTGATGCTTGCTGCTAATGCTAATCTGCCAGCAGCAGAGAGAGTGTTCCTGCTGTGTGACTGTGAACGCTGGAGGGTTGGCAGATGGGATCTGAGTGAATCTGGTTAGAATTTGTTTACTCCGCCACTCGCCTCAGATGCCTTGAGGGTGTAGTCGATAAAACATTAAGTGAAATTTAAAGAGTAAACTAATATTGATTAAAGTGTTTTAATGTCTTTCTAAATCAATTCAAACCAATTTCAATATATAATAAGGGGAAAAAACACCATCAGTAATCACAACAAGTTGAAATATGAAAACAAACAGACCATTTGTTTTGTACTCTGACGTTAGCAGAGCCGAGTGACCGTCTGTCTCTCAGGTCACTTTACAAGGCTTTACATTATCACCGGCAACAAAGGGCTAGTGAAAGGTGTGACCCTTTAAGATGTTATCAAGGTCTCATCTCTGTCTTTGGCAACCGCTGCAGTCCGGTCTGATCTAATCCGACCTACTTGGAGCACTTCAGAAAGACAAGCCTTGATTCACTAGCCAGTGCTATAGTTTTGCTCCCTTGTAGTATTGCAGTTTGAGGCAAAAAAACAAGAACAGAAAACAATTGTATTTACAAATGGTTTGGAGATGCCTGGTTGTTGATACGTTTTTAAACATGTGCACAATGTTAGCTGCAGTATAACAACATGGATTTAACTATTTCTAACCCTTTTCAAGAGTAACTTGATGAGGTATTTAAAAGCTTTCCTTCCCTCTATGATTTTGATACTCTGTAATCACACCCAAAAGAAATGTCACAGTGTACTGATATCTACTAGAGTTTCGCAAAAACAAGATATTCAGTGTGTGTTTAGTTGCTCTTTAAAAAAGCAAAAGCAACATTGTAATTGTACCTAGCAGTGTGTCCATTCTGCTGGTGTCTACTATACACATGCATTTTTGTCAGAGCAACAACCAGTTTATTGTTTTTCACTTGGATGTTTTGCATGCCATTCTCTTTGCAAAAGTATTGTTTGTAGTAACTTAAACAACACCTTCCTCCTACATCAGACACCTATCTGTCCTTTATGGTGTCCTCTGCAGTGATATAAAGCCCAAAGGGTCGTAGACTGGCGCCACACGAGAACGCTAACGCAAACGAACCGAATTCGATATCAAAAAAGTATTCCGTCCACACGCAATAGGCACCAGAAACGTGTCCGTTCACACGAGACCGCTCGAAAGCGCTGGAGACGCTGTGGTACATATGCCGGGCCTGTAAGTGGCGCTGTACTTCTGCCACAAAACACACCAAAAGCAGCGAAGAAGACTTGCCGCGCACGGTTGCCATGGTTGCCCTTCTTTTTATTTTCCGCGGTGGACGCTCTGGCTCTTTTTCTCCCTCCCCGAGGCAAGCGTTTGCTCCTGCTGTAATTCTCTCCGGTAGTCCACCAGCAGATGAAAAACACCCACCTCTCCGCCTCTTCCAAGGGACGAGGGGACCGTGCAGCAAAGTTTCTGTTAGATTTTTTTTCCGCCGGTCAACATGTCCGTTAAAGTTTAAATCTTCCGGAGAAAATTTGAAAAGTGCCGGTCAGAGGTCGTCTTTGTTATTTATTGAACAAATTGATAACTACTCTATATAATAATATAAAAAACGGAGCCTCTCTTTTCCTCCCGCTCTTCTGACAGCCCAGCAGCTGATCTCTGAGCAGGAGAGGCGGGGCTATTGCATCATCGTTATCAGGACATGATCGTATAGGCGTAAACACGGAGCCGTTTGCCCCCCCAGAGCGTTTCATCCGCAGATCTACCCACCTTGGGACCCGTTATTGTTATCGTTATCTGCGTTTCCCTGTCGGCCTTGTCTATACCGTCTATATGATAGAGAACTGTAGCGGATACGACCGTTACCGTTCTCGTGTGGCTGCAGCATTATAAAGGGTGTCCTTTATGTGCCTTTAGGGATACATTTTCTCTGCTGCTGCTTAGGGACCTTCAAAAGGTCAGAAACACCTCAAAGGCTGCAGAAACCATTTTAGTTCATGTCTTCAGGGGGGAAATGGTGTAAAATCAGATATCTCTGCTCCTTAAGGCACATAGAGATTATGTAATGTCCTGGATGACTCTATCAGGGATCTATTGTTAGTGATGCAGCCACCCAGCGAGGCCCCTCAGGGTGCAGCTCAGCGGGAGAGCCTGAGCTGTCAGATGGTATCAGAGCTAAGAAAGGGACATTGCTGGTGGAGGGCAGTCCTCCATGTTGACTAACAGGAAAAGGAGGAGAAGAGCCTTTCAGATGACAAAGGATCTAATTTAAACTTGGTTCGAATAATTATGGATGCAAAAATATTTGTCAGATGTTGGAGAGAGATTGACAAAATAGATGTGGGCTTTACACAAAGTCAGAAGCTTTTCCCATGATGTTACATCACCCACACCCACTGTTTTTCTGGGCTGTTTGAACACTACAACACTATTCTGTGTGTTCTCCAAGGTCGAGGTTACAGTGTCAGAAAGGGGAATGTTGCTGCTTGTATCATTCAAAACCAGTAAAGATTGAGGAAGGACAGGAATAGATATGAGAGAAAGAAACAATTGAAAATATATAGTGGAAAAAGGACAAACTTGAGGAAAAGATTAGCAAAGGGTGGTGATAATGAAAAATGTTACTTTTTACAAAAAGTGATGGGGTGAAAAAAGTGAAAGTGAGGAAAAGGATGTGGCATGTCAACAGAGACAAGTTTAAGATAATACATATGAAGTGTGACATATTGAGAGGAAGGCAGAAAAGAGAGTTGGATGGCAAGAATAAGAGGGAAGGATCAGAAGAAAAGATTGAGAAAGAAAAATACTGCCATTAATAATTCAGTCTATCGATCTACCTCGGTGTGTGTGTGTGTGTGTGTGTGTGTGTGTGTGTGTGTGTGTGTGTGTGTGGTGTGTGTGTGTGTGTGTGTGTGTGTGTGTGTGTGTGTGTGTGTGTGTGTGTGTGTGTGTGTGTGTGTGTGTGTGTGTGTGTGTGTGTGTGTGTGTGTGTTGTGTGTGTGTGTGGTGTGTGTGTTGTGTGTGTGTGTGTGTGTGTGTGTGTGTGTGTGTGTGTGTGTGTGTGTGTGTGTGTGTGTGTAAAGGTTGCTGGATTTCTAATAAGATGACTTTGGACGTGTATGTTTCTCACACACACGCACCCTTGCATATCCACTGGTGACATAAAGTAAATGACCTTGTGTTCTGTGTGTAGCAGTGTTATATAAGTCTGGAGTCCTTGCGTGCCTTTCAGTGTGTGTTTGTGAGGCTGTTGGGCACATCTGAGATGCCTCCCTGTTTCATGCCACACACACACACACACGCTTGGTTAAAAGGGAACATTGGAGAATAAATATGACTGAAACACCCTTCTATCTGATCAGCAGAGCTCTGTAGTCTAAATAACAATCTGCCCACCCAGAGTGGCGCCAGTTACCCAAACTTTGTGTATTTTTGTCCACAGGGAATTAGGAGACAAATGCAAAGAGAACATAAACTGTACACTTTATTGTTTATTCTGCTCTACACACTGATTGCTGGGTCTTTGTGTTCAAGGTTATCGTCATTCTTCTTCCCCGTTTTGACTCTTGTTTTGACACCCTCCAAGGCTATTTCATGTCAGTAAGTGAAGGGAGTCCGGGACGTGATGTTCTAACCATGACATCCTTTCTCTCTCTATCTCTCTCTCTCTACAGCTCCCACCTCTCCCCCATATCCATCCTCCCTGCTGACTCTGCTCAGTAAGTATACACACACACACACACACACACACACACACACACACACACACACACACACACACACACACACGCGCGCACGAGATTTATCCACTCACCACTATGTACATTGGCACTTTTGTATGTACACACACTGAAAGAACCTACAGGCACAATCACCTAAAATTCCAGCCATACTATGCAAGTCATTCTGCGCACAGTTCATTAAAAAATATCTTCAATTTTTTTAAGAGAATGAACGAAAACATTTAAACAATAGGTAAGAGAGAGTCAACTAAGTTAGATGACGTTTGTAGTGCAAGTGAAGTGCCATCTGCTCAAGATAAAATAACAGGAATCAAGAAAGAAGAAGTGAAGGCAGCGCTGAGAATATCTGAGTTAGAGGTTAAGGGGAAGTGATTAAGAGGAAAGCCAGCCTGTTGTTTTCATTATGAAGCCAAACTAAAGCATTTTGCATGACTTGGTGCTTTTGGTGCCCCAAGGACATGAACTCAGCAAAATCACATGACTGTCAGGCCTCCTAACTGCGTGACGCAGAATAAAATAATTCTCTATGGGGCTTTACATTTATATGAGTGTACTGAACTAAAGGCCTAAGGGCAGAGATGTCTCAGATCACAGTAATAACTCGGGAACACTGGGGGTCAGTAGTCTTATTTAATATAACAGCAACCATTATTGCGTACCATGCTGTGAATGGATCTCGCCCTTCCTACATCCAGGACATGGTTAAACCATACACCCCAGCACTTGCACTCCGCTCAGCAAAACACGTCGGTTTGCTATCCTGGCTCCAAAATGGTGGAATGAGCTCCCCATTGACATCAGGACAGCAGAAAGCTTACACAGCTTCCGGCGCAGACTAAAAACTAATCTCTTTCGACTCCACTTCGAGCAATACAATGAAAATAAAATAAAAAGCACTTGTATACTAACTAAGCACTTATATACTAACAAAGGACTGGCTTATCTAAAACCTGATGCACTTATATGATTCTGTTTTCTTCTAGTTTGTATCTTCTTGGTCGAATGCACTTATTGTAAGTCGCTTTGGATAAAAGCGTCCGCTAAATGCAATGTAATGTAATGTAAAATATATTATCAACTAATATGATGATTATTTTCTTAATTATTGGCTGAATCACTATCAAATATCCCAAACTAACATGTCACTTTAATTGAATTCTTTACCTGTCTTCTGGGTGTTGTGCGAGTATATAAACGTTTTACTTTCCTATGGTTAATCAAGTGTGTTTAAAGTCGTCTACTCTGTTGAGGGGCATGATATGATTTAGCCAAGATGTGGATGAAATCAGCAAAAAACACAAACTGCTTCTCTTGGCCGTGTTTTGTTTGTGAGTAGAGAAGAAATCTGCAAGCACATCATTTTGTACTGCTTATGTGTTTTTCCCAGTTACTTAGTGTTTTTCTAACAGGTCTTCAACCTATAATGCTGTCCAAGCTATAGGGAAAAACAAACGCTGCAGGAAGCCAGATTAAATAAGGGAGGGATAGTCCATGATACTAGGATCACACACACTCGTGATCGAGCAAGTTAAATAATATCTCAGGAGAGCCTGTGGATCAACGTCAGAGTGGAGGGGGTCAGAGTGTGACTGCTGCCGTTACCTTTTATAGTCCGTAATGTCCTCTCCTCTCTCCTGCCTGGCTTCTAGTTGAAGCTTTATTAATCCTTTCAGAACTGCTCCAGGTTTTTGACTTAATAAGGACTGAAAATAAACCAATTTAGTGACTTTTAGGCTCTGAAAATGTTGATTTTTATGAACCTTTAAGAACAGATAAAGATTAACTTTATTGTCTGACACACGGGACATAAATTGAATTTCAAGGGCTCAACATCAAACAAACAATGCACATTGATAAACATTTTAAAACACACAAACATTTAAAAAAAGGACATTGTTGATAGGTAAGTGCCACAGTTTCTGTATATACCGCACTGTCAGATACATTAAATCAATGTTAACTTATGTGGATTTACCTGGACTTTTCTGCTGGCTGTGCTGGGATTTATTACAGTCAATAAGTCCCTATACTAGCTAAACAGAGAAAACACAGTCCCAGGATCTTATACTAAGTAGTAAAGTAATATAAACCCAGGGAAACATTTGGCTTTGGTCTTTTGTAAAAACAATCACTGACAAACTGAGCTGTTACAGTTCACCCTCATTACAATTGAACTAAACTCATTCCATGTTCATGGGTATTAAACACAGACTGCCATTGATAAGTAACACATTGGACCATCTTAAATACAACTTGTATAACAACATATCAAGATAACATTTTCAGGGTTTGATGTCCACTCATCTTATCCTAATAAAAGAAAACACTGAATTTCAGGTGTCAGAAAAAAATATATTTCCTGACTGTTCAAAACAGGTGTTAGGACCCTGTACTACACTTCAAAACATCTGAAATCATGTGGGGAGAATACTGGTTTTAAATCAAACCTAATGCATAATCAACACTGTAAAAAATAATATAAAAAAACCCTTATAAATAAACCATGTGTTCTTTGTGTTTTCCCAGGATAATCCATTGCACCATCAGGGCTGCAGTGGAGCAGCACTTCTTCGATCTGAAGACCTCCATCGACCAAGACCTCAGCAACTATGACAGCCAAGGGTGAGAGACAGTCTACATATACATGAAATACACACACATTAAAATTGATTACACTTGGAGCAAGTATAAGATCATATTCACACTGAAAAAACAACCTGTTGTGATTCTTCCTCCGTGCAACTGCTGCTGGCGTGCGTTACACAGATTCCTCGGTGGTCGTATGACTTTAAAGATCCATATTTGCCATACTGAACATTATGTACGAAGGCCGCAGCACGCTGTATGGTTCATGTTACCAGTAAACATGTTGACAGCTGTGATGTTAATTAGCAAACTCGACACGTTTGGGAGGAGCAGCTGTTCAGCGGTCACTCACCTCTCAGACTAAACAACATGTCCGGGGGTTTAACGTTACATAAGGGAGGCTTAATGTTTGCATGCACCAACACCATACAGACACAAAGGTGTTTTTGAGTTAATAAGGTTTTTTATTTTTGTTTTTCAGGGTGAGTCCCAGTGAGCCTGCAGATCAGGGTTGCCATGGACTCGAGGATCAACAAACTGACCCTGAGGACAGCCCCTGTGACACAGAGGGGGAGACCCCACTCTCAGAAACCGAACAGATCATGCAACAAAGTCAGACACACACACAGGTCCGTGGGGAAACACACACACACACAAATTCATCACACACATTCATTTGAAGTTTATTGACATAGGGACAGGTGATTTGTAATGTCTGTCACTACATGGGCCTTTTTAAATACATGAAATTAAAGACAAAAATGCAACAGACTGTTAAAAAAAACAATGGGTAGGTTTAATAAAAACGCTTATATCAGACCACAACAAATAAATACCAACAAACAATATAAGACACAAACTATGTCAATAAAGCACCATCAAAGAAAAGGCACAGGGTAATTGATGTCTACATGACTAACTGTTTCTTCCAAAACGTTTTCAGTTTGTGTTTAAAACGTTTAAAATGTAACTATTTATTGATGCATTTAAGATTATCAATTGTAATAAACTGATCAGAACTAAAAACATCAAATAACCTTCTCAAACACAAACTATCAACAGTTAAGCTTGCACCCTAATACATGAAAAACAGCACAGAAATACCCATGTTTTTTTGGCACGCATGCGCACACATACACACTGGAGATGTCCCTTTCAAAGTGTCCACAGACACTCAGCAGTTGCTGTGTGGGCTGGCAGCATATTTCCCATAGCTAACCTCCTTCCTGTTTCAGTCAGCGGTTCATTCCAAGGCTGAATGTTTAGATTTTATCAGCACAGTCCATCTTTGTTCTGCTACAATAGCTGGATTCCTGCCAGGGTAGCAGAGGGGACAACTGAACTGCTTTACAAATGGTGAACAGATTAACAAATACGCTGAGACAGAGAGGCAGTGGTTTTGTCTTACTTACTTACAGACATGAGGGATTGATATGAGGCCAAAAAATACAGTGAGGGTCAGCAGTATCCACTTTTTGTAACTTTCGGAATTCTACAATCATATCAAACTGTCGTGTCCAAATTCTCCACATTTTGGTGGAAAAGGTAGGACCTAAATTGGATTCGACCTCAAAATGTTTCTCTTGATTTCTAGTCGTTGCCATGAGGAAAAAATGTTTGTTACTTCATTAGCATTTTAGTAACCCCTGTCTCAGCGGAAATCAAATTCCCTCAATGCCACTACCACTCCTTGAACTCCCCTTGAGCCGCAGTGGCTTTTCTCCAAAGACCCTTTTAGCGTCACACAGCAGGAAGACGAGTGAGGTGTGTCCTGTGACCGAGGAGAAACCTGTCGCCTCTTTAAACAATAATCCAGGTCTTTAAATAGATCAGCCAAGAGACGCAGAATGACAGCAGCACCTGTGTGCCAAACTACAAAACACACACACGCGTATATTGAGTAATCATCCTGCTTCCTTTTGAACTATATATATTTCTTTCTATTCCTATCATTATTTTCCTGACAAGCGCACACACACACACACACACACACACACACACACTGAGCTGGATGTGTAAAGCCCTAAGTAATCTCAATTGCTATAGTATTAATTCTGCCTATTAAATAAAACCTGCCAGTTGCTGTTTGGGGAGTCGTAAAAGATAGAAATTGTGATTTTGCCTTTATTTTTATTTTTACTTGGAGGTTTGCATTTTAAAGAGTGAAATCGATTATTAAACCCTTACTTTAAACTATATATTTATAAAGATATGACCTTATTGTTTTCTTAGTTATTGCGTTTTTTTAGTGCTCTTTTTAAATATGTATTTGTGCTGGATATCAACACTTTAAGACAAAGCACAATAACCCTGAATTCATTCATCCTGATTCAGCAATGAAACGTGACCATGTCTTCATGTTTCTGAGATGCACCTTTTATGAGTCCTACTTGTTCCTATTGTTGCCCATTCATGTCCCTTGCTACACCTGTTTTGTAGACCAAACACCAAATCTGACAGTTTTGCTTTTTTGCAGTTTACTTATAAGTTATGTCTTGCTTTTGTCCTGTTGTTGCACGTTTACTGTTATAGCACTGCAAATGCCCCCCCTGCAGGACCAATGGGAAATCATTAAAACAAACAATCAATTCATTCTTAAACTGTACCTTTTGCTCTCTCCCAGGATCCATTGGACTCTGGCGCCGCCCTAGAGGAGAGCTCGGGGATGGACCTTGATGCAGAGGCCGTCAGAGACACTGAGAACAACATCAACACTGCCAGGTGGGGGGGGGGGGGGTAGTCTTTTATCAAGTTGTCTTTCACCCGATTTATAGAAAATACAAGCAAAGTTATAAGAGACAGAAGTGTGGAAACCAACATTTTAAGGGATCAAGAAACATTTAGGCTTTATTTGAAAAAGATAGATAGATGTGTCTGCTACATGTAGCCTTACACACAATGCATTATGGAGAGTAATTACATTTTATATAAATAACAGTATCTTATAAATAGGACTTCCCTCTTTCCCAGAGACTATTTATATAACATGCAGTGATATTGTCTTGCACTGATCACTTGACCCGTCATGTTTACTAATCACTTGGACATGCTGCCTCAGCGTTTATCCTTAATCTGAGTCCGTCCCTCACACATGAGTTCACGCTGCGTGATCGTGCAGTTTTACACTTTATACTGTATCATGCCTCTCGTTTAGGGCCGTTAACAATTAAGTTAAGTTAATGCACCGCAGTTGATGTGTCACACAGTAGAAATTGTTTGTGCAGTCGAGGCTTAAATGCTGTTTCACACCTATTCAGGAAAAATGGGTAAAAGTTAATCAGCGGGATGAAACGATTATTAGACGCCACATTGATTTTAGTTGTAACAAATTAGTGATTTTCCAACAGTTGACGTTTTTCGCACAATACAACATTCACAATGTGGAACGGCTTTTAGTTGTCTGACGATTGCGCAGCTGTTCGGATCTGCCACAGGCGACTACAATGTCCCAGGAAGACAACAAGGGTGGAAGGATTATGGCTGAAGCTCTCAAAACTATTTTCATTAAGTCATTCTAGTTCAAAAATGGTTTTGCTCAAAGCGAAGGATTTCCCAGGTCTAGGAGTTGGGCTGGCTTTCTGTGAATGGTAAGTGTTAAGTCAGGCATTAGACACAATAGCAATAACGAACAAGTGCTTCATATCTAAATATATATATAAAGGTTTAGGGAACTTGCTCATGCCCTGCTCAAATTGAATGTTTTTTGGTAGATTTTTGAGTATTTAGTTAATCTTAAATTACTTATCTTTGTTTTCAGGCAGGACAATCAACCCTGTGACAACATGGAGCAAACTCAGATTGACATCATAAGCTGTGTAAGTAGCAACAATTTGGATTTATTGTATCTAATTATGTGTTTTACTTCCAAAGGTTTCTTTTAAATGTAACTCAATTACAAGCACAAAAGAGTCATTTAGGATCCCAAAAAACATTTGAAACAATATAACCTCAAGTTGATGTTACACTATTTGTCTCTGTTTTGTACAATCCTCCTTTATTTCTATTTTAAATCATTTCCACCTCCCTTCTTTTGTACCTTTTTGTAACTGAAATGGTTTGTTTCCCTTTATTCTCTCCGTCCCTGAATAGTTTCTTTAATCTCTCTCTTCCTGCAGGACCCGAGTTCATCCCGCTGTGATCAAAACGCCAACACCAGCAACACCAACCGGAACCACCTGTCGCCATGCCAACCAAAGTCTGGCCAAAAACCCCAACTGCAGCTCTTCCCTGACAACCAATGGGAAGGTAGGAGAGAAAGTGTCATGTTATTTTAATAATTAAGAAAAAAGCAAAGCAGTAAAATCATCCGTTCTCATATAAAAATATGATTTTTTAAATTAATGTTTTGCTAAATTAAAGTTGATGTCTGTGTCATCCATAAAGGTACAACTGTTAGTATGATTGACTGAATGAATGTTGGAGTTGTTATGAACGATTGACCTCGTCTCTGCTGTCTCTCTCCCTGTCCCTTCCTCCTTACTTCTTCTTCTTCTTCTCCTCTCCCACCCTCCTACCCTCCACACAGTGTCCCCCCCCTCCCATCTCCACCTCCCTCCCATAGACTTCTCATGTATGCACCTGCAAAAAGAAGGGGATGGTAAGTAGTTTCACTTCCACCAGCAAACCTCTCCTCTCTTACATCCTCTCTTGTTGCTGGTTTGGAGTACTGGAAGCCTACATGATAAATGCTCACATATTTCAATGTGCTTGTGTGATTTTGATGCTTAATAAAACCCTGCATGTGAAGAAACTAGGGATGTAACGATATATTGAATATCGCGATATCGACCAGGTGTAGGTTACAACATGAACATGGCAGCAAGTAGGTTACAACATGAACATAAAACAACAGGTAACACAAAAGGACATCGTATTTACAGGGCTACATTTACATACCTAGAGACATTGACAAGTACCAACAGTATATGTATATCTCGCCCTGTCAATAAGCTTCACCTTCTTGGCAAAAACTGTATTGTCTTTGAAGTGGTGGAGAGACAATGCACAGTTTTACCCACTGCTGTCACCCATGGACAAAGCATATCTCTCTGTCCCAGCAACATCAGTACCAAGCAAGACAGTTTCTTCCACAGCAGGGGATATTGTAAACGCCCAAACATCCCAGCTTCGACCTGGAAATGTGGACATGCTCATATTCCTAAAAAAGAACCTGTCTGATGATGCTGAGTGAGTTTGAGTTGAGTTACTTGAAAAACTAAAGTGAAACTTGATTTATTTTATTGCAGGGTCTGATTATTATATTGTTGACACTTTAAAATACTACTATCCTACTAAAGTGCTGTACAAGAAGAAGAAAAAATGGCAAGATAAAATGTTACAAAAAAAATATCGCGATAAATATCGTACCGTGAGTTTTTGGTATCGTTACATCCCTAGAAGAAACTCTTCTAACAAAGCTGGTGAACTCTTCTTCTCCTCTTATCTTTGCTCCTCCCTACTGTGCAGGGTCACTGGGCAGATTGATCCGGACATCTTTCCTCTCTAAAAATATTTTTCTTTCTTGACTCTGTTTCTCACCTCTGTCTCGTTATCGCTATGACCCTCCTCCCCCCTCTCCTTCCTCCTTATCCCGCTTGACTCATCGCTTTAGCATAGCGCTGACGGTCAAAGCAAAGCGTGACTCGGCATGGAATCAAAGGAGAAAATGAACTTGTTCTTGAGTGTTTCAGCTTAACAGGCAGCTTTTGTGTGTTTCTTTTGTTTGTACCTCGCGTGTGTTGCTATTTATAGTTAACATTAAGTATTGAATTAGTTATTTTGTCTCTCCCTCCTGACCTCCGTTAACCTCTTTCTTGCTGTCCTCCTCTCTGCAGACCCCGTCCCTGCCTTTAAATCGTGGCAGGACGAGGGTGATGGTGGGGAGGCGCAGCTCTCCCCTCTGGCCGGTCGCATGGACCGCCTCCCCCCGCTGCTCCTGGAGGAGGAAGGCGAGGAGGAGGAGGAGGAGGAGGAGGAAGAGGAGGATGGAGGGCAGGACGCCTCCCCCTCCTCCTCCCGCTCCCACCCTCCCCTCCTGGCTCGACGCTTTCTCGATTTCGGAGCGCACGGTGCCCAGAGATTTGTCCAGCAGGACCCCGACGCCACCTCACCGACCAAAGCACAGAGGTACGCTTTGATTCATGAATAAATAACTATATTAATATGTTCAACATAAGACATAACCACGTTTAAAAGACAATAAATACAAATGGATAAAGTGATAACAAGCACATTAATAGCAACAGATTAGTAAAAAAGTATATTTATATTAATACGGACAATATAATTTGTTCTCCCGGTTGGTCGGAATACAAACATTGTGATTCTGTCCTTTTTAATATGGTAATTTTAGTTTAAAGGCTCTATTTCTTTCGTTCTTTTCGACCGTTTTTAATAGTGACAAAATCTTATATTGTCCTATCCCTTCCAGTTACAAACGCGTTTCAGCTAGATTCTCTTTGTGAGTTTCCAGTCTGTAATCATACCTACAGTCATCTTCCTTAATCCAAGTCAGAGCGTATCGTGTCGTGTGTGTATCATGTTGGATCACTTTTGGCCATTCATTCACCTTTCTATATCCTCTGTTCCTCCAGGCCGCGGCGAGCCTCGTTCGGCTCCAAAGAGGCGATGAGAGGAGGAGACTCGGTGACGCACCAACTCACCAAGAAGCTCCAGCACCTGAAGAAGAAAATCAAGCAGTTTGAAGAGCAATTTGAGAAGGAAAGAAACTATAAGGTAAACATTCTGTATGTATGTAGTATTCTTTATTCTGACAGTTCATGTTAATGACCACTGCAACTTTATAAGACTTATCAAATAAAAAATAATGAGCCTAGCTCCTCTGAAGTTCCCAATTTTCCATAGTTTGAAGTCGTTCTGACTTTGGTGTGTTCATGCGCTTTAAGTCATAGGCCGTTTCTCAATCGCGAGGATGCTGGCTTGGTAGCACAGCCGAGCCGAACATCTTGCTTCAGAAGCAAGGCAAGAATACTTCCTGGCATTCGGAAAACGAAGAGTGGAACAGGCTAGCAAGTGTGCAGGTGTGCGTCATATGAGAGGCCCCGCCTTACATATGAGAGGCCCCCGCCTTACATCTTCCGCCACAGATTTGGGGAAATTGGTCCGTGCGCAAAGCATTGTGGGGATTTTAAGGACGCGAAGTCTACCCATGTGCAGCCTCAAAATTTCCCCCAAACCAAGGACGCGGCCTCTGTGGAATTTCCAAGTATGCTGGAGATTGGAACAGTCCTTCGGCGGCACTCGATGACGTAGCATCCTTGAAATATTGGCTTGGAAGCCAATAACCTCGCGATTGAGAAACGGCCATAGTGTGGAAACACCATGGACGCAACAAAGAAGATGTGTCATATTTTATTACGTGTTGAAACAACATATTGATAGCATCCATTTTTTCCCCCAACTTGGAAAACATTTATCCCGACACCACATGCAGCACAAATGCCCTATCTTTGATTTTAACCATATGTATCCTTCCCTTGCTTGATTAGGATCCAATGGGTGCTTCTTTAGATCATACACCATCCTTCCACTACGTTTTATGAAAGTCAGGCCAGGAGCTTTCTTGTTGATAACAGTGAAACAAACTATACTAAAAACAGGACATTCTTGTCAGAGGCCATAATAAATAATAAGACATATCCAACCTTCAAGTGATTGCTTATTATCAATCACTTGAGACCTTCATCCTCCTCCTCTTCCTCCTCCTCCCCTTTAACTAGCCTCCTCTCTCTATATAGGAACTGTTTTTGAACTGTTTATTTTCATTTTAACAAAACAAGACAAGACATATCCTGACATCGGTCGTTTTCATTCAAATGACAGATGGGTACATGATAAGTATAGTAAGGAATTAAATAAAGCAAATCCAGTACAAATTGAAATAATGAAGTAAATAACATAAATAAATATAAACTGGGAAATAAAAATAAATAAATAAAGTCAAATCAAATCAATACTAATGAAAGCATTTTAAACAGGGACTGACATCTTTGTATATAGGAACCTTAACTGATGAAGGTCAGATGATCTGAACGATGTGAATAAATACTACACAAGATGCTTTTTGGGTGTGTTGTAAGATGTTAGTTCCTGTATGCAAACATTAGCTGTTCTTCAGTTTCATGACCTCATCAGTGAACCCCTAACTCCGCCCTCTTTCTCCCTGCAGCCCTCTCATGGAGACAAGGCAGCTAACCCCAAAGTCCTGAAGTGGATGACAGACCTCACAAAGATCCGCCGGCAGATTAAAGGTATAACCCCCCGCTCTTTCTCTTGTGAATGTGCATTTGTGTGTGTGTGTGTGTGTGTGTGTGTGTGTGTGTGTGTGTGTCGGGGCTAGAGTGTCTGCGTGCCATCCTGTTCAACGCTGGACAGCTTGACCCTCCCCACTCCTGACCTTTGTAACAACACCGCATGTCTGCTGGTCTAACACATTACTTCGCAGTCACGCACATGCCAGGGAGTAGACGTGGCTCTCAGGCGTAGCTTCACCCTCCAGTGTGCTGGTGCGTCCTTGTGAGCCCACATTCATTTCCTCCAAGTGGAGTCAGTGAGGTGAAACGGTGGAGAAGAGTTTTTCTTAATCTGATGCATAAAATGTGTAAATATCAAGGAATAGTCTTTTTTTCATCTACTTTTTGATCAGAGTTAAAGGTGGGGTAGGTAAGTTTGAGAAACCGGCTTGAGATACACTTTTTGTTATATTCCATGGAATGCTCTTAACATCCCGATAGCAATGAATATCTTAAGTGCTTTGACAAAAAATCCATAAAAAAATGTCATCTGTGGAAGCCGTAGTACTGTAAAAAGCACGACCAATCATCTGAGCCGGCCCGGCTAAAATAACTGGATGGCCTACCTGCCTGTCAGCCTTCCATCGGGGCACAAACTTATCTCGTGCCCTCATTGGTCATGTGCGCGTTCGTGTGTGTTGGAGGAGGGGCTCTGTAAGGAAGTGGCAGATTTTCTCCGGTTGTGTATTTTCAAATTCTAGCGATCTCGAGCTGGTTTCTCTGAAATGACCTACCCCACCTTTAAAGCTGCAGATAGTTTTGTCCCCTTATAAACTGGTGTTCCTTGTAAAATATGAATTGTCTGATGTGTAGAAATAGTTTTGTCTCTTATGCATCGTTTCACCAAACTGAACCCCCCCCCCCCCATGACTCTCGTCACCCTCTCTACGGGAGGTGTCGGCTCTCCTTGTAGAGATCCCAGTGGCCGAAAAAACATTTCTCTCTCTGTGACAAAATCTAAATTGAAAAACAACAATAACGCGAGCAACCGCTCTCCACTTTCCTCCCTCCTCCTCCTCCCACCGACTGATTGATTGATTGATTGACTGATGGGCCAACCAGGACGCCAGCACCACCTTTTACCCAGAAGCACGCTGAGGCACCAGGCTTTGCTCCATTCATACAGACGCCACCATGCTCCCTCCTCCCCTTCCTACTCTTCCTCCTCCTCTTCCTCCTCTATCTGCTCCCCCCCCAACCACACACTCACCTCCCCGCTCCACCCCTACTCAGGCCTGAGCTCTAAAGCGTTTCTCAGTAAGTACCAACCCCTCAGTAAGTAGACACTGCAAACACTACTGACGTCACAATGAGGCGGCATTGTGCGAGCGTCTTGCCTTTCTTGTTGTTTTGGTGTATTTCCTGTTGAACTGCATGATGGCACGAGACATTTTAACAAGAGGCATCTTCTTTCTAAGTGTGGAGTAATGTGAGGAAGAAGTGGGGATGTTTAAGAGGGTATCATTTATATTTTTGTTATCATCATAGCGATGTCATCTTGTGTGAAACACAGAAACTGCTTCTTATTTAGGAATTTCTCGAGGCAGTTGAAAACATATCTGTAGAAAACTGCACTTTAAAAATGATATTTTCATTCGGGCCTTATTTGCAATGTTTATTGTATTTAATAGAAGTATTTTGGAAATGGTTGTATATAAGCAGTATACAGTATAGTAGCAGTTTGCGTATGCTTTTGCACGGGGCAAGTTGATACACTGAATGTGATCATTGCATCTAAATATTACCCAGCAGGCAGCAGGAAGTCTCGGTCTGTAACAATCTTTTCTGACCGCCTTTTTTATTTTTTAATTCTCAGGCGCCATAGAGAAATGTTTTAGGATTTGTGTGTGTTTGTGTTTGGATTGGGTGTGGTGTTCGTGTGCCAGTCGGAGCATGTTCTGGTTCTGTGACCGGCTGACTTTACCCACCGCACAGCATGTCTGACCGTAAAGTCAAACACGTTTCATGTGAACATTTTCTCCACATTCTCTCTTTCTGTAACCACCGTTCTTGTCCTGGTCTCTTCTCCCATTCTCTCTCTTTATCTCCTCCACTTTTTTGATTCTCTTCTTCATTTTGTTCCTCATGATTGTATCCCTCTTTCCCCAGATGCCAAACACCGTGCAGAGAGCGAGCTCGGACCCCTGACTCGGCCCCGCAGCAACACTTTACCCAAGAGCTTCGGCTCCACGCTGGACCAAGGCGCTCACGACGCAGAGGTCAAAGATCAACATCCCACCAGAGAGGAAACGCTGGAGCTCATCCAGCAGCGCGTCAAAGGGAAGAGGCAGGAGGACGGCTGGCCCGACGACATCAAGGTGAGCCGCAGACACTGTGAGCAGGACAGTGACGGCAACTATGAACAGTAGAAGTGGATTAGCGAGTAAATAGATATACCCTTTTCCCACTAATATTTCATACAATATATATGTATGTATAGGTTTTTTTTAAATGATAGAAAACCTCCCTTTTCTGCCAGTATATAAGTGCATCATTTGTTTTTGGCCATATCTCATTTAAAGGGCCCATGTCATGGCCATTTCTACTGATCATAATTCCATTGTTGAGGTCTACTAGAATAGATTTACATTGTGCAAACTCTGTATAGTATGTGTATTCACTCTCTGTCCTACACGGCTTGTTGGAGCTCCTGCCCCCCCCCCCTCCCTGTGAGCCCACTGTGCTCTGATTGGTCAGCTCGCCCACTCTGTTCTGATGAGTCCACCACCGTTACAGCGGAACATCAGTGATTATGTGTGTCAATGGCGTTAGCAACCAGTAAGGACAAACAGATGAGAATGCTGCGTGGGGTCTGGGTGCCGTGTTGGCGGGACGTTGCGCGGCTCGCTGCTGCGAGGAGCGGACAGTGTGAGCTGGGTTCATTTCCTGCTTGCTGCGTGGGGTCTGCGAGACAGCGAGAATGGACACGGAAAGGGGGGGGGGGGGGCGCTGAGGGGGCTGCAGCACCCCCATCTGCGAGGCTCCACTAGCACCCGCAACCCCCGGGTTAAAAAAAAGTTACATTTTATACAAAAATGGAATGGAATAAAAAAAGAAAAAAATAGCAAATACACATGATATAAGTTGTCATTAGAAATCTGGAAATAGGACAAAAAGTATAAATGCAAGGAGCCACCATGCAGCAGACATATAGATAATAACGGATAATAGGGGGGGAAAAAACATATTTTTGTACTGTACCTGCACTGTAACAGATTTGACACGAAAGACTACAGTTTATAGCAGTTTGACTTTGTTGTGTTGCATAAATGTGACATTGTAAGATCTCAGCTCGTGTAGCCACATCTGTTTCAGGTCACAGCTGTGAAACATCACATTAGTTCATGTCAAATGCACAAGGCGTCACAATATAAAAATAGCTTATATCACAATTTCTTCAAAACCCGTCTCTGCAGAAGATGACCAAGGAGCAGCTGTCCTGTGAGAAGACGGTGCTTCAGAAGAACCTGCTGCACTACGAGGGGCTGCACGGCCGACCTGTAAGACACCAAACATCCTGAATGCTGTGATGAAGATGAATTCAAACTTCTTATCAAACTTGTTTTAACACTAGAACCGCCAGGGGTCGCTGTGTACCTAAAACCGCCAACGGGTCAAATGTACCCGCTATTAGAATGCATTGATTTTCATTGATTGACTTTTATTTATCATACTAGAACACAGGGTTAACAGTGAGTTTTCATCGCACAGTGATGAAACTTATACCAATAGAATCTGTGGACTCTCAGCTTTCATATGATATCTAGTGTGCAGATAGCATGAAGTATAAAATATCCCTCAAAGTGTCTCTCTATCTCTCTCTCTATAACTATCTATCTATCTATCTATCTATCTATCTATCTATCTATCTATAACTATCTATCTATCTCTCTCTCTCTATCTATCTATCTATCTATCTATATATCTATCTATCTATATATCTCTCTCTCTCTCTATCTCTCTCTCTATCTATCCATCTATCTATCTATCTATCTATCTATCTCTATCTATCTATCTATCCATCTCTCTATCTATCTATCTATCTATCTATCTATCTATCTATCCATCTCTCTATCTATCTCTCTATCTATCTATCTATCTCTCTATCTATCTATCTATCTCTCTCTCTCTCTCTCTCTCTATCTATCTATCTATCTATATATCTATCTATCTATATATCTCTCTCTCTCTCTATCTCTCTCTCTATCTATCCATCTATCTATCTATCTATCTATCTCTCTATCTATCTATATATCGATAGCCCCGTCGCCGAGTAGACTCTATCTCGCTATATCTCTCAGCAACGAGTAGCCAGAGCTATCGATCCAGCGATCCAGCGCAGCTAGCGAGCAATAGCAGATCGCGCGCCATCGACAGCATATCAGCCATCTAGCGAGCTCGATCTATTAGCATCGATCTATATCGATCGATCATCTATTCAGCCATCTATCTATATATCTGCGATCGAGCATCTACAGATCTCGCGATCTCTCGCCATCGAATCTATCTATCTAATCTACGATCGATTAGCGATCTATCTAGCTATCTATCTAGTATCCATCTCCAGCGATCTATTATATCTATCTATCTATCTATCATTATCTATCTATCTATCTATCCATCTCTCTATCTATCTATCTATATATCTCGCTCTCTATCTATCTATCTCTCTATCTATCTATCTATCTCTATCTATCTATCTATCTATCTATCTCTCTCTCTCTCTAAGGAACCGCAGTAAACAACAGGCGTAGCTATAGCAACACGTCATGTTTATGTTTACGCGCGAGATCAATAGCGCGAGAATCACTGCATTTTCTATAATGTAAATATTACCCGCTGGCGCTAATGGGTATAAATGGCAATTATTTTGGCCATTTTTTCAATCTAACATCATATTGACACTTTGTAACAACAGAGGGTGCTACATAACACACTTTCAGGAAAAGTCACGGACTGGGAGACTTTGATATTTTATTGAAAAACAGTTACATACAATCAAGAAACAGCTGCGGGTAAAATGTACCCGTTGGCGGTTCTAGTGTTAACCGTCTTTGCTCTCCCTCAGGTGACCAGAGAGGAGCGCATGGTGGTGAAGCCTCTCTACGACCGCTACAGATTAGTCAAGCAGATGCTCACCAGAGTCAGCATCACACCCATCACAGTACGTGCACAGAAACACAACATGTCATACACATGAACACAACATCCACTTCTGACCTGCACTTACTTAGTATTCATAATTATCTTCACTTATATTTGTAACTGGACATTTACACACTTACTGTAAATCATTGTAATCATATTTATTATGTAAAGAGCATACATATTGTTCACCCATCTACAACTAAGACATCTCAGGGTCTTAGATTAGATTATATTTATTGCCCCCAGGGAAAATGTATTCCTTAATCCTTATTATTGTTATTTATATTTGTAATCTTATCATCATTGTGTCGTTTTAACTCGTCCCGGTGTTCACTCTCCTTGATGTTCCTGCTTGAATCCTGTATTTCCTTATTATGATTTATATTATATTATCTTATCTTATCTTATCATTTGTTATTACACAATGACACCAGGCTCTCTAGTACAGATTTGGTACATGTGCTATCGTAAAATTACATCAATAAATATCACAATCTTTATTATATCTGTTTTTTTATTAAGAAGTCTGTCTAACTTGGAGTATTTCAGTCTTTACATGAGATACTAATTGACTTGTGCATTAACCCCCCCCCCCCCCAGGTGTCCCCCTCCAGTAAGAGGCGCACTCAGACCCTGCAGCCCATCATCGAGGGGGAGACCGCTCACTTCTGGGAGGAGATCAAAGAGGAGGAGGAGGACGAGCGGAAGGAAAAAGAGGAAGGAGGGGGAGAAAAGGTGGAGAGGGAGGAGGAGAAGGAGGACGAGGAAGACGAGGAGGACGAGGAAGAGGAGGGGGAGAGCAGCGGGGGGGAGATGCAGAGCTCCGAGGTCATCATGGCCGTGGACCTGGTGACCTCGTCTGAAGGGTCGAAGACGAGGAGCCACACCCCCCCCGACCCCTCCCTCAGGGGGAAGATGGAGGAGGGGTCCGGGAAGCTGGCCCTCGACCTGCGGCTGTCCAGCTCCAACGCCTCGTCCATGTGAGCACACACACACACACACACACTCGTCACATACACACACACACACACACACACACACTTCCCATACACACACACACACACACACACACACACACACACACACACACACACACACACACACACACACACACACACTTCCCATACACACACACACACTCATCACATATACACACACACACACACACACACACACACACACACACACACACACACACACACACACACTTCCCATACACACACACACACTCATCACATATACACACACACACACACACACACACACCTGCACACCTGCGTCACATATACAAGGTGGTTTGTTAGCATTGAAAACAAGGCAAAACTTCACTAGAGTTCCACAGCAAATAACGTATTCTCTATCCAGACAGAATTATTTCTTAAAATCCAATAAATTCATTCTGGTTTCCCCGCATCTTCTGAACCACTCCAGGGTCCTAACATCCTGATTACAGTGTATTAACTGACACTATCCTGCACTTTAGCACACACACAAGTACAACAAAAAAGTGATAAAATTACACATTTTAAAACACCAATCATTCATTTATGAATGAAAGCTCAGATTATCTACTGACTGTACGCCAGCAGGATTAATGAGAGAGAGAAAATCAAGTCTGTAATCTGGTTACCGTGTCACAGAGCTTATTGCTCTCTCTCAAACACACACACACACACACACACACACACACACACACACTGCCCCTTTAATCTTCTTCATCGGCTCAGGTGCATCTTGCTCTCGTCAGGTCATGATCCTGACAGCTGATCCTCTGCACACGCTCCTTTTCTCTCTTGACTCTAAATCAATGGGTCAAGATCCAAATGATGTTAACAAAAAACTCCATGTCATAAATAAATGTGTGCTTTAGTTAGTGTAGAGTCAAGAAACAAATGTGGTATAAAAACATCTCAGGTGCACCAAGACGTTATCCCTACATTCTCTGTGGGATTTCCCTTCCACTGCAGTTCAATCATAATGAGCATCAAGGTTAACTCTCTCCTGTCCCCCCCCTCTCTCTTGCAGGCCAGAGCTGCTGGAACAGCTGTGGAAGGCCCGAGCCGAGAAGAAGAAACTGAGGAAGACCATCCGAGAGTTTGAGGAAGAATTTTATCAGCATAATGGAAGGTAGGAAGAAGACAGCCGCTCACATGCACAAAATAAATCCATAATGAACATGATGTCATTCAGCTGTCAGGTTTAAAGCTGAGAAAGTCAACTGAAATCCAATATTGCTAACCAGGAAGTGAGTTAATATACAGACACATCAGACAGTACAGATCATTCTGTGTCTCTGGAGAAAAAATGAAAACATCAGACAGTGCTGTGCTGAAGTTAAGAACTTCACTCATGACCTTGGCAATCAAATAATAACATTTGAGTTCTTCGCTTCCTTCACTGACAGCCTTTTGCTGGTCTATTCATTTCTCTCAGTTGATAGTAAAGATTAGGCTTCAAAGGCGTAACCTATATCATTTGAAATGTGATTAGGCAGGAGGGAACCACAAACTTCTGCCGTCTACTGTGGTTCACAGCATCATGGAGTTTGCCGTACATCGACACAGGGCTGACATCATGTGTCCGCCGCTCTTTGAAAGGCCTCCTTATAGCAGGCTCTGATGTCTTCTGCTATTAAACACATTATCAGCGATCATGTAGTCTGCCCTCAGTGTGATACTGTCTGGGGAGAGCTGATTAACGCTCAGTGAAACGGCCTTGGAGCAGACACAACTTATCTGCTGGTGTCTGGCTGTAACTCCCTCCTCTCTCCCCCCCCCCCCCTTGCAGGAACGTGCAGAAGGAGGACCGGGTGCCGCGCCTGGAGGAGTACAGGGAGTACAAGAGGATCAAGGCCAAGCTCCGCCTCCTGGAGGTCCTCATCAGCAAACAGGACTCCTCCAAATCCATCTAGCCCCGCCTCCTCCACACCAGCTGTCACTGCACTCATCTGCAGGGACGTCATCCCATCGGGGGAGGGGGGGGGGGGGGTCCTCAAACGCATCGCAGGAAGAGGCACACACACCTCCACTCAGTGTGCTGCATTTATGTCATGGAGGGAATTTATTCAAAGTGACTAAAGTGACAGTTTGCCATGATTTAACCTCAGGAGGCTTTTGAGCTTTTGAGGGACTAGCAGCATCCAGTAGAGAAAGGTATCTGAGTTTCCCATGGTAGAAACTATTTGCCTAACACTGACCGGTCGAATATAAAGACAGCAGCTGTGCGGTCATTTAGACATGACGACTGTGTAAAAATATCAAATAGTTTTTAATACTTTATCAGCCCAGTTTGTTAAGCAAAAGTAATCTTGAATGTAATTTTAGCTGCTTCAGTTCCTGACAGTTTAGCAGAGAAACTATTTTGCTGAAAAGTGCGTTAAAAAATCAAGTTTTAAGCATTTTGATGACTTAAATGATTATATTAGTTTGATAAATATTTCATTATTTATATATGTGACTGCTGATATTTTCAGCAATGTGTACATATTGGGGTTCTTTGACTTTAATGAACCACATTTAAAAGATGACATTTTATTCCTATGACATGCATGCAGCACCAGACAACTTAAAATCACTTCGTCAGCCACACCTGAACGCCTCGCCGGACTGCATTTCATCTGAAAAACACGGTCACTCATATTCAGAGAGAAAAAACATTTTGACGTTTTAATTTCAGGACCTTTCTTTTTGTTCTTCACCTTATTCTTTTCCTCTTGCTGAGGGATCTTATGGGACAGCTCGTGGACTGGCATTTTAGACGCTCTTCACTCAAAACACTCATTGTTTCTTTGGGACATCGCTCTGTGGGAAAGTCTGTCGCCTCTCGTCAAAGGGTCACAATCAGCGGCCTCCTTCGGCGCGAGGCGATACGTTATTTTATCGTCGGTTAAATTACTTAAACATCCTCGATGCTTCACACCTTCTGACGGATTTTAGAAATGATTCACATGTTTAAAATCACACATTTTTGCGTGTATTGTTCAAAGAAAAGGGTATATACATACATGTTTGTGAGACACTGCTGTCCACGTCTTTTCTTAAATGAAAATATGTGTGTTGTATTCCAAGGGGGAAAAAGATTTGTACTAACTCTTAGTGTGACCTTGGAGCTGATCGTGAAAGACTGAATTTCCTTTTCCTTGATTTATATTATTTGGCTTTTTGTTTTATTTTGGCAATATTTGTCAGTCAGATGTACACAACTTCATTTCCCATGAGCCTCTTGGGGAGAAAACTCTGCTTTTAAGTCGTCTTAAACTCAAACAAGTTTGCGCTCTTGATTTTGTTATTTCTGACGGCACCTAAAGGCAACATTGGTCTAAAGATGCTAACAGGAAACAGTCAGATGTTTTTCAGGATGTAGATGTTACAGAAACCATTTGGAATATTCTGCATTTTCTTTGTTTTTACATTTTGTCTCTTCACTTGTTCAGTTTGCTGCATGGAGGTCCTGAGGGATTATGGGTAATAAGTGATGAGGAGAGGAGCCAGTATCTGGTCCACGCTGCTGCAGTTTCTTTGAAACCAAAAGCATGTTGGCTACAGGAAGTGGGCCGGAGTTTCCTGGATGTCAGTCAGCAGTTGCCGTGCAGCTGACCGTCACTGATTTATCTCTGGGGTCACAGTGTGTCGCTTTTATTTTATCTCTGAGGTGCCAACTCTGCCAGCACTGATTTTAGACGCAGAAACTGTGTGATCTTTTTTCACGACCTGTGAGTCAGTGCTGAGGGCCTGTTAGCACGTTAGCATGATATCCTCACTGCTGAGGAAGGGAAGGGGTTTCTCTGTTACGTTTCATTGCCTGCTGGCGGGTGAAATGAGGGCAGGTGAAGAGGAGGGGGAGGAGGAGGAGGAGTTTCTGTCTCCTATCAGACAGACGTCATGATGTCACAGTGTGATTTGAAATATGGGGCAGAGACATTTCCAACTATCGCTGATTGTTTGGCTTTAGCGTGTGTTTCTGCAAGTGGAGTTCTATTATCAGAACCTCTTTGGCTTGTTATGTGTGAGACGTTTAAGGACAATAAGACACATTAATGCTTTTCTGTACTTTTACCTGCCTGAATCAAAGTTGACTGCAGTCTTTTCTCTGCCAGTGGACGGCAGATGTGATGGTTTGAAATCACAGTTTTGAATGAGACAGGAGTTTTTGTGAGTGCTTGTGAAGAGGGAGGTTTGTCAGGACGTTAAGGTCGGTAGGGTTGATGTAAAAAAATGTTATTTGCACAGCATTCACAGAATGCAGCCCTTTGTGTTTTTTCATTTGTTATTTCTAAAAATGAAGCACTACTTCTATACAAATATAAATATATACTGTACATAAAAAAAACACCCGAAGGAATGAATGTCAGAAATGTTTAAATTATTTCAAACATTATGTTTGGCCCCCTTTGGTTCATCATACTTGTGATGCCCTGAGAATGTGTTTTTGTATTATTATAAATATTGCTATTACTATCATAACCATAATTTTGTGTGATAATGACAATAATAACCCTTTTGTATCTACTCACAATCTGTAAAGCAGCTGTAGAAGTTAGTCTGGCACTGTGTGGCTGATCGACCTGAACATGCTCCGGTTCCTCATTTATTTTTGTCGCTCTGTGTAAAATAAGCTAATCTAGAAGCAGTACTGTAGTGAGCTTGCATGGCAAACAGAACATAATAGTATGAATAACATGATGTATTGTTTCTATTGTTTGTGCCATGAAGGATCAGCAATAATAAAAGTTTGCGTGGAGGTTTTACAGTATCGGGTCCTGGGTAATGTGTGGGATCGACTGTGTGTGAATATTTGAGGTACAACACTTTTTCAGCCTGACACACACCTGGTCACACACACTCTGCTTATACAGCTTGTTTTTACCACTGCTGTCAGCATAATGTTCATGTTGGCGCTGCTGAAAAACCAAAATAAGAATCTGAAAGATGGAGAGGGACTGAAAAGCCAATGACAGAAAACATTCCAGTTTTTATCATCATTTAAAAAAAGTGGAAATCCATCGTTGATCTCTGAAGGGCTTTTCTTTCAATTTTTATCTTTTTTTGAGTCAAACCAGACGAGCAGTTGATATGTTTGGCCCCTCAGTTTCTTAAAATCAACTCTGTTTACATTGTGCCTGCAACACAGTGGTAAAAGTCACGTTGTGAACTGTAAATGTATTCTGTCAGTGTACAATTTCATCACACACACTTTCCTCTCTGACATGCATGTTTGTTTTACACACCTGGAGCTCACGGCAGACGTTTCTGTCAAAGGTGTCCTGCAGGAAATGTCAAAGAAATGATCAGTTTTTTTGGTCAAAACGGCAGAAGAAGAGCTAAAAGATATATTATATATTATATAAGTGTGTAAAGGGATTTTTGAGTCTTTAAATCTTTCAAATTTAAAGGAGAAATCGTCGTGTTGCTTTCAGGTTTGATCGAGAAAGTAGGAAATCAGATACTTCTTGACATCTTTGATACTGAGTTTGCTGTAATTTGCTTTAACGTGAGAGTTCATCTACATGTGATACTGTGTTTTATCACATCAATATATTGTATGTGCGTATGTATCTATAAATGTTTTCTTACTTTGTGAATGCTTTTTTCTGTTTTTTCTCCATTAACAAAACAATGAGAAAATACAATCAGTAACAGACATTTACACGTGAAAAATAAAATTTGCAAGCTTGCCACATTCTCTCGATTCTTGATTCAAATAAAGTAAGGTGTTGGTTGAGTAGGTAGAGGGACCTGCACTGTGGAAATAGAGGTTACATTAATAAGATATATAGGCCTACTGTAATAAATGAAAACAATTCTAAAATAAATATCTGAAGACTCAAACAACTAAGAGCACTAGTTTTTACAATATATAATAGGGAAATGCAAGTTTTTTGATAAATAGATGGAGGATTCTTGTTCACCATGATTCATCACAAGCAGCCTGCATCTCAAGTTTACTCACCTTATTGTATGTTGTAATATTCAGACTTTTTACTACACTTCTTAAACTACACTTGATATACTTCTGATAATATACTACAAATTATCAGACAAAACGACAAAGATGTATGTCGTTTTTAAAACTCATGAGTTTTTTCATAGAATACTATAATATGACTGGTTTAATAACATTTTATGACAAACTATACTATGACTATTATATGGAATAGGCTACTATTGTATTACTTTTTTAATGATATTTTGTATAGATAGATGCATACTTGTTTGCTGCTAGTTTGCTTTGAATTCAATAAGCAGTACTTCTCATTTTATTAAACGTCTTTCCCATGAGGTTTTTAAATGTTCTTTAATATTCACTGTGTCCCGTTCATAGACTGTATATATAAACCCGTTCCCGTTGTGTGAAGCCGCCATTGTATTTGCTGGCAATTAGCATTATTAGCATTAGCCCCGCGCACCAACGGAGAGAGAATAACTTATGGCAACACAAAATAAAACATGGGAGCGGTGGAGATGAGGAGGTGTCGGCGTTCTGGCGATTTACTCGGAAGGGCTTCAGTAGAAGCTGCTGGGAGTCCCAGCAGCTTCTACTGAAGCCAGTCCCCAACTCCGGGGACTTCCGGCCGGGGACTTCGGGTGGCAGTATACGCCGTGAAGTTGTTTGCGGCCTGCCAGTAAACCCAAAGCAGAAGAAGAAGAAGTGACGTCAGCGGCTTTATTTGAGTAATCTTCCCTCACAGGGATTTATTCCGGTGTGAACGCGATCTGCTCTTTAGTTCCATGGGGGAACTAATATAAGTGCTGGGAACCAGCGCCATACAGATAGATCTATTATATGGCTCTGCTGGGAACTAAGTACGGCAAAGTACTTGGTGTAGCGGCTATTGAGATGAATGTAAGCGTGATGAGACTGTGTCTTGTTATCAGCGCCCTCTAGCGGACAACAGCAGAACAAACTAAATCAATTTAGATCACATTACGTGTAGTGGGGTTATGATTTTGCCTACCGAGATATAAAGTTTACCACTGTCCTTAAAACACATCACAATGTTTTTGTATTGTGTGCTGTCATTAATGTGACATGTTATATTGTGTAATGAAACCAACATGTTCCTTTCAAAGAAGCATATTTTTGAGATTCAAACCATCTGCATCCATGTTCTCTTAAAGTTCTCAATGTATCAAGTTCATATTTTAAGCATAAGAAACACGAGTCAGTATTGGTGGTTCATTCAAATTATTTCAACTTTGAATGTTTACAAACCACCTGTAGGCCTATGTATGTCAGTGCACAATCTTCACTATGAAACCGTCACAAACAATACACAATCAATGAGCTCAATATCAAATGTTTTTAGTTCACAACATCCAGTTTATGATATTAAAAATATAACATCTGCACTTAGTAAGAACATTATTCATTTGAAAACTTCCAAACCATCCCTCTTCACAAAGAAGATCTGACAGAAAGGTTGATTTAGTTTCTGTTCTGGAGCTTTTTGACCGAGTCTTCACTAAGTTGATCCCACATCACATGATAAATCCTCGAAGGACGCTCAAAACAGTTTTAGAAGCTCCAATCTGCGAATGAAAGCTGATTGAAACCGTCAAAAGCTCCAGGACAGCAACTAAATGGACCTTAAAATTGTTCATTTCCATGCTCAATGAACTCCAACGTCAATCACAAGGCTGTATTTGTTTGCATGTTTTAGCCCGTCTACAATACATTGCATATAGTTACTTCCTGTTGAGTATTGTACTATCGTGTAACAGTATTATTAGACTGAACAATGAATACTCCAGGGAGCCACTGGTTTCCATTTCATCAGGTTATAGCGACTTGAATATTTAACTGCGAGTAGTTTATATTTAAAGGAGCAGTAAAGACAGTGTAGATCGTTCAGGAAATGGTTTTCCTTTGGGTCCAGAAGCAGAAGCTGCGTTTCAAATCACCTTCAGTGCATTTATCTACTTCTGTAATTTTAATTGCCAAATTCTGAAAGGGTGTAATACTCGCTGTATTAAGTGCCCTCAAAAACTCCTACAATGGAACAAAAAGTAGTGTTCATGGTACGATAAAAAAACAACTTTAATGACGATCATTCATACAGTATGTGTTGGAAATATCAATGTAATATGTGTAACTAATGAGTCTCTTATGTAGGAAACATTAATAAATGAATACACGAATGTCAGGGTTCTTTCAAACATGGCACAAGATGTTTAAATTGAATTGAAAAAGAAGGGGCTAATATAACTTCAATATTTCCTGTTGTTCAGTCTTTTTAACTGTGATCTCTGACTCCTCTGCAGACACTTGAACGCACCACACAATCCAAGCTTTCCTCTGCATTACTGCACAGTCCTAGATGTCAGAAATGTATCGTGGCGGTGTTTAGGAATTTCCTTAGTTAAACATCACAAAGTATGTCAAAATGTTGCTGTTGCACTGATTATAACACAAAGTATGTCAAAAATGTTGCTGTTGAACTGATTATAACAGTGAGCTCCATAGGTCCATATGTGAAGAGTGTTTCTAGTAGTTTTATACTTGTAATTATCTGTAGTAAACTTCCTGCAACCATGACAAAAATACATTCAACTTAATATAAGAGGTGGGAGTTATGTAGTTGACATTATTTAGCTAATCATACAAAAACAACAGCATGGTCGGTGCAGTATTTTGTACATTTTTTGTCAGAGGGCGTTGAGATGAAGGCCGATCGCCCCATGATTTATGGAAGATTGCAGGCAGAAATGAAAACTCTCATAAAAGCAGCTTCTCTAAATGTATTTTTCTTCAAAAGCTATGGCACCAGTCAGTCATCGAAATGCACCCACCATCATCTGCATGAGTGTGAGCGGAGCACAAGTTTAACATGAGGCGGAGGAAATGAGACCCTCCCTTTGAAGCAATAAATGCTATGTGATCAAATGTCCTGAAACAATAAATAGAAAATCTTAAACCTGCATCTTTTACATTAGAATTATACAGTTGTTTCTTCAGTGCATTTTGACACTCTCCTTTAGGCAAGAAACCTCCAGCAGGATTCGGATCAGCAAAACTGGCACTTTTTTTTTTTTTTTTTTTTACAATATCTGATGAAATAATTGGCCTTTAAGCGGTGAGTTTAAATCCCCCCATGAGTTTGGAGGACAGCAGGTCAGTCAGTGCATTGATCAGTGCATCAGTAGTGCGTCGACGACAGACAAAGTCCTCCCGTCCAATCAGATCACCTGGCCTCAGCGAGTGGTTCTCAACCTCCTTAAAAACAATCTCAAACATATTAAATATGAACGCTGATTTGCATATAAGATGTTTTCTACATTCTTTACATTGTTCTGTAGCTCTTTAGGTTAATTCTTCAAATGTGGCCGTCTCATAATTTAAAAAAAGTCTCCAGCGGCGAGTCCAGGCTTCCAGGATTTTGGATAACGCTTCGTCTCCTGATGATCGCAGCAACACTGTTAACACTGAAGGTGGTCTGAAGTCAGCTGGTGTTCAAGTGCTGGATCTGATGCATCACATGAACAACACTAAACATCTAAAGCACTCAGTTTGGCCGTTAAAGTCAGAGCTGATGCAGCCGCTTGGTATGTGCTCGGCATTTTTAAAAACTCGCCAAGGCAACGTTTGTTTGAGCCCGCCCTCCTGTGGAAACTGTCTGTTATCCAGTGCAGCTGTGTTCTTTAAAAGTCAGGATGGAAACGGACATAGCAACAAAGTCAGGATGTGGTAAGGCGCCAGAAAAACTCCTCAAGATGCATCCATGATTCAGGCAACTAGCGGCGTCCTGTCCATTTCTTCCTGCTGAGCTTCAGTGGGGGGTCTCTGTGGGAGGAGCCCTGTCATAAAGGCTTGTCAACCACTGCGACTCCTGGAGGGGTGAGGACAAGAGAGAGTGAGGGAGAGAAACAGTGGGAGAAACAGGTGAAATGTGAAGACGGTGTGATGCTGATGTTACCTGCGTAGCTGCGTCCGTTGCTCATGTTTGTGGGGATGAGGCTCCACTTGTCTATGGCCGGGTTGTAATACTCGACGGAGGAGAGGTTACAGGAGCCGTCGTCTCCCCCAATCACGTACAGCAGCCCGTTAATGGCACACACACCTTCAGGAGAGACAGTGATAGACGTTTCAAGCCAACAAATGTACAATGCTCACAGTAAATGGTATGTACGCAACAATATAGATCCCATAACTTTACATCGTGTAGAAATGGCAATGAAATTCTTCTGACCTGAGCTCCTCCAACAATGCAACATATATAATCAAATATTTAAAAAAAAGTCTATATACATGTAAATAGAATGTGTGTGTGTGTGTGTGTGTGTGTGTGTGTGTGTGTGTGTGTGTGTGTGTGTGTGTGTGTGTGTGTGTGTGTGTGTGTGTGTGTGTGTGAGGATGAATGTGTGTGTGGATGAGTTTGTGAGTGAGTATGAGTGTGTGTGTGAGTGTGTGTTATTGTTACCTGTACCTGCGTTTCGTCGGCACATGTTCATGTCGCAGACGAGTCTCCAGCTGTTGGTCGTGGGGTCGTACACCTCCACGCTCTTCCTCACCAGGGGGCCGTCGTGCCCCCCGGCTGCATACAGCTGACCGCTCAGCACCCCCACCCCTGCACAGAACACAATTTATGTGTGTTTATTTTACAAGCAAGAGGGTGGGTTGTTTCTTGGTGTTGTTTGGGTGAGTGTATTTAATGGTTCCAGTTGCAGACCACCGGGGGGGGCTGTTTCTCTATAAGACAGGCTTTGTGACTGATACTGGATGACCACACTCTTCAGTATGATAATGATGATAGGACACACCTCCAGCAGCTATTAACCTGTTAAACCCCACGGACCCTTCGGCGGGTCCGAAAATGCGACATATGTTAGCACCAGTGTGATCTCTGAAGTGTCATTTATGAAACTATTAATGTTCCACACCCAGCTGACGGGAAGAAATTCAGCTAACTGACACACGAAAAAAAAAATCAAAAATTCAAAAATAAATTCCCACAAGAAGCCTTTCAATGAGCCCTTAGCAAAGACGGACTAATGCTATTTCTGCTCATAACTCACAAAAACGATCATTTATAATTAATATTTTCTGCACAAACAACACATCATCTGAAAGCTGAGATTCCACAGATTCCATGGGTATAAATACCCCATCACTGCAGGCAAGAATTCACTGAGCTAGCAGCCAGAACATAGCAAATAAACAACATCAGTTTTCAAATCCATGACAATAATTAGGTCTTACCTTGGCTCTTTTGTGATCAAAAGTTGTGTTCAACGGAATAAAAACGCTGCTCAAGGTTAATCCAATGTCTCTTAGTCACTTTAGAATTGTTCCTGATAATCAATCCTTTCATTCATGGCAGAAGGGTAGGTACAAAGATTAGGTGTCCATGGCTTCAGCTGCTGGACATGCAGTTTACGCATAGCCCCCCCTCCCCCGCCGTAAAGTATTTACGTATTTTCCAACTGCCACTCGATTCTATTGGCTCTAACGATTCAAAAAATGTGTAAATCACGCAAATCGACCAATGGGTTCCAGAGATAGGGTCCTGCTAAGTGTACATCAGGCCAGTATATGCTGCTTACCTACACTCCTCCTACGTTTTTGACGCAGCAGAACCACATTGAGAGGAGCGCAGAGAACGGCACAGCAACAGCCGGATTTGTTTTCTTTCTCTTCATTTGAACAATGGCAGCCAGAAAGAAGACTGTATTGTCCATCGAGGAGGCATTGGAACTAGTATTTGAGGACTCTCCTTCGGAAGATAGTGATCTTGTCACGCATGAAGGGGACAGTAATGACTCCGATTATGAAGTTCCACCAACGGAAAGGTATGTCATCTCTCTGTTTGTATCTATTACTTATTTATTTGGTGTAAGAGTATTCATCTGTTTTTATCTTTTAGTTATTTATTTGGTGTTGAGTATTCGTCTATAGTAATTTCACACACGTAACTATAACACGACGGCATCCATCTTGTGATATAATGTTATTTCACACACTCAACAACATACAAATAAAATGGAGGCCGTTTATTGTTCAAAGACTAGAAATAAACAAGACAGTAGAAAATATACATGTTGAATTTAACACGGTATTATATATATATATATATATATATAAAATATACATATTTATAAAATATACAAATACATATATATATATATAAAATATACACATATATATATATAAAATATACAAATATATATATATATATATATATATACATATAAAATAGACACATACATATATAAATATATGACGGACGGAATATTAATATTAAATATTGAACAGATTATATCAACCCCGTCTCACATAATTTACATGGTATACATTTTGAGTGATATACTGTTATTTCACACACTCAAAATTGATGTTCTGCTGTTGTTGTAGAGAAATTATTTCTGATTTGAGTTACATTTTTGAAAGTACAAGCCAGTGAATTAATCTATTTGTTTTTTCCACATTTGGTTTCACAGTGAGGAAGACGATAATGAAATGGCTTCTGGATCACAGCCATCAACGTCTGCGTCCAAGCTACAACGCCAATCAAAGCAGCATTCAGAGCCAGACACACCTAAGTTACGACGCCGGGCATCTGCACCAGTAGTAATTCAGCCTGCCTCTGCATCTTCTGATGAAGAAGAGCGTGGTGTGTGGCAGACTAAGAATGTTACCGTTCCTGACGCTGTGGTGGACTACAACAGAAGCATGGGCGGTGTGGATGTGTCCGACGCTTTGATTGGATACTACAGCGTTCGTCACAAAACGATGAAATGGTACAAGACTTTTTTTTACTATTTTATGGATATTTCCGTGGTGAACAGCTTCCTTCTCTACAAGGAGCTGCACAAGAGGAGGGGTGACCCCGCCAGGGCGAAGCCACTCACACAGAAGTCCTTCAGGGAGCAGCTTGCTAAAGAAATGGTTGAGTTTTCTGGAGTCCCTGCAGCAGCACCACCCCGCCCACCAACACCCCACACCATCACTGACATGCATGCCCGAGTATTATGGGGAAGATGCCACCACGGTCAAGAGGTACTGCAGGAAGTGCTCTGATGCTGGCAGCAGAAGGGTGAAGACACCTGTGTACTGCAGGAAGTGTCAGGTCCCTCTGTGCTTCACTCCCAAAAAGAACTGTTTCAGGGCATGGCATGACTTACTGGAATAATACTGTAACATTCAGGGTTTGTATAAAGTTTTGAGAGTGTTTATTACCCAAAAAATGCTTGTTGTTTTTACCTAAAGTGTGGTGTTATTGTGTAGTGTGTTGCTAACATTTTTTAAATAAATCTGCTCCAGTTGGAGTCAAATGTTTCCTATGTTTCCTAATTTTTATTGTGCAAGTAAACATGCATCTCATGCAAAGAGGGAACTTCCCACACACACACACCCCCCCACACACACACACTCACCACACACACACACACACCCCCACCACACACGCACTTAAATATTTTTATTTTTTTTTTTAAATTTGACAATAATCATTTATTTATTTATTTTTATTATTATTTATTTTTAATTTGTTGATGGAATGAATACCTATAGTGATGATTCAATGTTATAAAATGATTTTTACAGTCTGGTACCTGAAAAAGGTCAAATGGCACTGATGGAACCAGACGTTCCCCAATGTGCCCAAAGCTTAGTCCGCCTAGACTTTTTTTCCCTAAACCTCTCTAAAAAGGTCAATTTTCACTTGTTTTGCCTCAATCTCGATACAGGGTACTTATTATATGTTATACTTTGGATTCCCAAAGCTTTTAGGCTACTAACCAATCATTCAAGGGTGGTTTTCACTATAAGTAATGTTATTTTTTTAGGCGGAGGTAAGAATTTACACTTTTTTACTATGTTCCATCTGAATTTACTCTGACACAGAAACATCTATATTGATTCTGACACTTCTACATTAATTTAATTATTAATTTAACCCTTTTAGAAGTGAAGTTATAGTCATTTGTTCTGGGCATGTCATTTTCGAGCCTGAAACCTGAAAAACAGGCTTGGGGCTTAACAGGATACAACCTAGGCACTTTTTGAGGACATGAAACATCTGAATTGTATCAATGGTCAAAGTCAAGATTTTAGAAAAATGTGTGAAAAAAAAACAACATCATAAATGTTTTCCAGAAAAAATATTTTCTCCAATGCATATTTTTGACTATTTGTTATGAGTTCAGAGATAATGATTACTTCATTACGTTCCTTGTAGTTTCTTATTTTATTTGGATACTATATTTAGTCATCCGCCACCTTAGAGTGCTTTTTTTCATAAATAAAAAGAAGTGTGTCCAAAGAAAAAAATAGTATGACAAGAAAAACTCACTTTTCAGTCACCAGAGGCCTGTACTATGAAGCTGGATTTTCGCTTAGCCGGCTAACTTCAGGGAAATCTCGGGCTTTCCGGTCCTACGACGCTGGTTCTCTTTTTAGCAGGCTAGATTTCCATGGTAACTTATGCTGAGCGGCAAACCTGCTCCGGAGCAGGTTAGGTGGCAGGCTAAGAGATCAACTCAGTGAAAGCACTGCCTGCTGACCAATCAGAGCTCCGTGTGCGGAGTTTAAAGCGATCAAGTCATATTACAGGATAGAGGAAATACAGAAAAACTGCCGTTGCAGGAAAGACGGCCGGCCAAAATCAACTGACTGTGTGAACGTGAAAATTAATAGAATATCCCCTCCCATCTTCAGAGCAATCTGACTATTATAATATTAGCGTTAAGAAAGCTTACTTAAATATCTGCCACGACATAAGTAACCGGATCAGAGTAACATTAAGTACAGTCCGCGGCACTGTGAGTGCAGACGTAGATGTGTCCCATTATCATTCATATCATATCACATCATAATGTATCATATATTTCCTTATTTGAGTCAGCTTCTTGAGCCGTATCTGGCCGTGCAACACTCAGTGTCACATACTGTATGCAGAAGTATTATTTTAAGCAACACATTAAGTTGATGAAACACTCGAGTCAAATTCTCCTAATTAAAGTCAGATCGTGTCTTGGACGGGGCAGTGATTTCATAAACCTGTTAATGTACGCATTCAAACACTTTTTCTTTTACCAGCTGTATTCACCTTGCAGGTGCAGCTATGTGGCTTTTTTCCTGGATAAAGTGTTTAAGTCATGGATGTTTAAAGTTTAACTTCTTCATATTTGACTAATATTAAAGTTCACTTTTCATTCAGGAAGTATGACGCTGCGCTGTCAGTACGCTTGTCCGTGTTTGAGATTGGTCGAATGCTCCAAATACCACCCCTTTCATGTGAACGCGCACCTAACTAGATAGGACACGGCTGGCTTGAGCGATCCACTTGATAACCAGCGTCGTAGTACAGTTTAGCCAGAGCGCGTATGTTTTGGATTGGGCCAACCGGCTAACTCAAACATATCCAGGTTAGGTTGAACCAGCTTCGTAGTACAGGCCTCAGTTTAACAGATTTTGTGTGTGTGTGTGTGTGTGTGTGTGTGTGTGTACCTGCTCCACTGCGCCGTGTGCTCATGTCAGCCACGTAGCACCACTGATCAGCGACGGGGTCGTACTCCTCCACCGTGCTGAGACACTGACGGGACGCTCCATCATAACCTCCCACTGCATACAACTTACCTACACACACACACACACACACACCACAATTGTGAAATCAGAATTTCAGCTTTTCATTGTAATGTCACATGTTGTCACTATAGTCACACAATGAGAGAAACATACACACACATGCGCACAAACACACACACACACACACACACACACACACACACACTTGTTGTCTTACCGTCGACCACTCCTACACCCACACTGCTGCGTCTGGTGTTCATGGAGGCGACGTACATCCACTCGTTGGTTTTATAGTTGAGGACTTCTACTGTCGACAAACCTGAAGGAATGACAGAAACACAAACATTATCTGGCGTGTGTGGGATCAGTGTGTAGGTGAGATACAGTATGTTGCCTCAAGCTGGTAGTTGTGAGAACAGAGAAAATCTCCCATGTCTCTTTATGTTTACACTGAGGTAGGCGGTGCTACTGCAAATAATCAGAATCTGTTCAAACAGATCAAGATGCTCAACCAGATGAGAGAAAACAGGGTTGGATAATGTCATTTAATCAGCATTCCACTCGTTACCTGTATCAACTTCACTCTTCACACATTTTTTCAGACATATCTTAACTGAAATTGTATACTTTGAACACAACTTCTTCGCAAAATTGGACCCCACAAAAAAGGGTACACAAAATCAATATATATACTTGTTACTAATCGTTACTAACAGCTCAGCCTTTTGCTCTGTATGAGCGTGTGTGTGTGTGTGTGTGTACCTATGCTGCCGTTGAACCCCCCCACAGCGTACAGCAGGTCTCCCAGCACGGCGGCCCCCAGCGTGCTGCGTCTCTCTTGCATGCTGGCCACGGCGCTCCACTGGTCCCTCGCTGCGTCGTACGCGTCCACCGTGCGCTCCCGCAGAGAGCTGTTGAACCCCCCCACTGCAAACACTCGGCCCCCCATGGACACCACACCTGGACACACAGGGTGAAGGGATAAAGTTATTCATACGGATCGTTTCCCTGCATGAGAATGGTTCAAGGTGGCAAGGTTTTTGTTTTCGAGTGAAAGTGATGTGTAGGTTTAAAACAACAATCAACATACAACATTTCTTTTACAGTTTGACTGGAGGAGGTACTGTTTTTATCATTTCTGGTGCATTCAAGGACAATTTGGAATCAAGATTTTATCAATATGTGATCAAATCTGATCAGTTGCTGCCTTTAGTTTAGATTTAAGGAATTAGACACTTTGCTGACAAGTTCAAATAAAAAATAGTGAAATGTGATGTATATTGTATACATTTATTCACAACCACCACTTGAAATCCATCTTTTATATTTTAAATTAATGTTGTGAAAATACAGCACCCTTGGGAAACTCATTGTAATGCCCAATTGGTTATAGTCACTTGTTTGCTGAGACATGTGGATTAGACTAAATCAAATGGTTCTACTATTTAAATGTTACTATAAAATGTTTGTGTTTACTCCCCATGTACCCAACTACTTACATACCAAACACTGGGGCTGCATGGTCCCAATCAAACACAGAGCTTCTGGAGACTGACACCAAAAACCCAAAGTGTTTGTCCAACCAGATGTACATCTAGTTTTTAGTACAGGTTGAAAACAGTAGAATTGGCGGACTCCACTACTCTACAGACACACACACACCTGAGCGGCAGCGTCGTGACGGCAGGTCGGCCACCTGGTACCACCGGTCGTCCTGGAAGTCGTAACACTCCACGCTGCGGATCGCCTTCGGAGCCTGACCGCCCACCACGATCATCACCTGCACACACACACACAGTCAGGGAGACACACACAGTCAGGGAGGTCACAAAAAAAACAATTCTCATCTGATACAGACGTTTTTAAACATGGAGAGTCTGTGTTTAATCTGACGTGAGGGGTGTGTGCGTGCGTGTGTGTGCGTGCGTGTGTGTGCGTGTGTGTGTGCGTGTGTGTACTTTTGGGATGCTGATGGGGGTCCGGGGTCGGGTCCGGTCTGTCTTGATGAGGTGTCGCTGGTCGGCTGGCAGCAGGTGATACTTCATGGCTTCTATGAGGAAATCTTTACAGGTGTTGTTGTTCTTTATCAAAGCCTCCTCCTCGACAATCTGAAACAGGAAGCACATTTCAGGACATTTTATTACATTACATTAGAGGTCACTTGTTAGCTGCTTTTACCCAAAGCGACTAACATACACTCAATACTGTTGAGCAATCGCCACACAGCAATTTTGGGGTGAAGTGTCCAGTGACACTATGACATGCTGAATGCAGTGGGGATTGAACCAGTGCTCCCCTGATCCGAAGATCAGCAAACCCACTGAGCCACAGCCTCCCCCTATCTTTATGTACCTTATTAAAATGGGTGGGTTTACATGCACCTGGAGCGTGCAGCAGGTCAGGTACCACATTACTATTAATATCATAGTACCTCACATTTTTTTTTCAACATGGTTACTTTTTATGTAGTAATTACAAAAGACACTAATTCCTGTTTTGTATTTATTTGTTTTTTGTGTCTGCGATGGATCAGAGAATAGCAGGCAGCATTTCCTCACAGTGTGTGTGTTAAAAAAAATAGTAAAAGGTTAAGCAGTGGACTCACTTAGATTTCAAGAAGATTATTTTTGTTAGTTTCAATTTTAGTCAGAATTATTTTTAATAGGATGCATCGCCAACATATTATTTTCATTTAATCGTGATGTTTTTGGTTTAGTTTGTTAAAACTAAAAGTCCAGGAAGGTTGTTGGAGGACTAGCAGATCATCTTCAGGCCTCACTCACATATCCTTTGGTCTTACTTACTTGGGTTACTTATGTAGTTTTATTCATAGTCTTGACAATATTCAAGTGCCAACCCTTTTCTACAACTACAAACATATATAGGTGACATTCATAACAGAAAAATGCAGTGAAGCGGGCTAAAGTAGAAAGTGTAGAACTAAGGCCCCGCTCACACGGGACCGTTTGCGTTTATGCACAGTATGCGTATTCAAAAAAGTCTTCCGTTCACATGCATTTGTTTCATTTAACGTGTCTGTTCAAACGAGGCCGCTGGAAACGCTGTAGTACATATGCTGGGACTGTAAGTGGCGCTGTAACTTCCGCCAAAATACACCAAAAGCCGCGAAGAAGAGCAACCGAGCAGCCCCGCTGCAATGTTGCCATGGCTACCCTTCTGTTTAAGCCCCGAAACTGAAACTGAAAGAAACTGAAAGAAACCGAATCTGTGGATATTGCATCCCGACCAAGAAGCACGTCTCTGTGGAGAGGACGGCTCAGAAAGAGAGAGATATTCTCTGCAAACACCGGGTGAGATCCTCCTTTGTCAATATAATGGATCAATGCATGAAATCTGACTCTGTTTATTTTGTTTAAGGAGTATATTGGGCGTTAACAATTCTGGTTTGCCTTTTATAATATTATTTCATTCAAGAACCCCTTGTGCGTTTAATTAACACAGCTATTTTTGATAGTTGCTACAGCAGTGAGCAGGAGAGGTGGGGAGAGGTGGGGCTATCGCTATTTTTTCAGGAAATATTCGTATAGAGGTGATTACACGGACTCGGTTGACCCCCCAGAGCGTTTCGTTTGCAAATCTATCCACCTTGGGACCCGTTATTGTTTGTGGGGTCAGTTTCTATCGGCCTCGTGTAAATAATAGGGCTATACGCACGCGAAACTATGCAGATACAAGCAGTTTTCTCCTCGTGTAAACGGCGCCTTAGTGTAGAAAGCAGAGCAGTATTGATTTTACCTGCACCAGGTAATCCCTGGACAGCAGTGGAAGTCTGACGTGCTCCATCAGTTTGGGCATGTACTCCAGACGAGCTGGCTTATCGGACTTTATCCAAGATATCATCGCCTCAAATACCTGAAGGAGAGAGAAAGAGGAGAGGGAGACAGAAGAGAGGGAGACAGTAGAGAGGGAGACAGTAGAGAGGGAACCCAAATACAGAAGGGGGGGAATTGTTAAATTGTTAAACTGATCCAGATTCAGTCATTTTATCTGTCTTTGTATGGTTTTGTGTAGTTTTAGGTCTGTTACCTCTGAAAACTGAACACATTTACACAAAGCGAAATACTCAACACATTTGGAAATGTTTCTAATCTATATCTATGTGTCTTTACTTTTGAAATGTTAGGTTTGGATTTTTTTTGCTATGTATTTTGTCAAGCACGAATAAACTTCCTTCTGAATAAAAAAAACACACTTTGCTTTCTGGTTCTGGTGAAAAATACAATGAAATGTCAAGGTCCGTACTCTTGTGTGTTTAAAATAAACTGTGTGTATATGTTAACAAGTTGGTTAATTGGGGATGCAGGAGCAAAACTGATTGCATAATTAAACAGGTTTGTAGATGGCGGGCTTCAGACATTGTTCAACGAGCTGACACGCCGGAACATTTAGATGAATTGAACTCACTGATTGTATCAATTGCCTCGTTAAAGCTGTAGAAACTGCTTTCTTTCATTGGGAAATACCAATATCGATTGCTCCCAGCAGGACGGCAGTATACCAGAGGTGGCAGACCTTTGTTGTGCATGTGTTTCTTCCAAAATCTACCTCTTCAAATTCATTGATTAACACACATTCAGTTGAGCCTCTCCTGGGGTTTGAGTGCCCCCCCCCCCCCTGCTGAGCACAAAGGAACGACAACGATGGTAGTTGAGGAAGAGGGCCGTTACTCAGCGACTTCCGACACCTTCTTCTAATTCAGGGTTCAAACTAGAAGACTCTAACAACAATGTGTCCACAATGTATAATGTGTCTCATAAAAGAGACAGTAAATGGCAGACACTATCTATAAGAGTTATATTGAATTAAAAAAACACTATATGATTAATTATATAACCACTTAAAAGGTAGGGTAGGTAATTCACTTCAGAAACACTTTTTGTTATATTCCATGGAATGCTCTTAACATCCTGATAGCAATGAATACATTAAATGCTTTGACAATAAATACATTAAAAAATGTCATCTGTGGAAGCCGTGGCGCTGTAAAAAGCACGACCAATCATTTTAGCCGGCCCGGCTAAAATAACTGGATGGCCTACCTGCCTGTCAGCCTTCCATCTCGTGCACAAACTTATCTCGTGCCCTCATTGGTCATGTGCGCGTTCGTGTGTGTTGGAGGAGGGGCTCTGTAAGGAAGTCTGAAGGAAGGGGCAGATTTTTTTCGGCTGCGTACTTTCAAATTCTAGCGCACTCGAGCTGGTTTCTCCATTCTTACCTACCCTACCTTTAAGCTTATTAAATAGCAATACATTTATTGTTTGTTTGGGTCATCTCACACCAACTCACTAAGACCAGCCGGCAGATGGGGGTGCTGCAGCCCCCTCAGCACCCCCCCTTCCCGCGTCCATTCCCGATGTCTCGCTGTCTCGCAGACCCCACGTAGCAAGCAGGAAATTAACCCAGCTCACACTATCCGCTCCTCGCAGCAGCGAGCCGCGCAACGTCCCGCGCAACGTCCGCCAACACGGCACCCAGACCCCACGCAGCATTCTCATCTGTTTTGTCCTTACTGGTGTCATTTTCTGGTTGCTAACGCCATTGTAACACATAATCACTGATGTTCCGCTGTAACGGTGGTGGACTCATCAGAACATAGTGGGCGAGCTGACCAATCAGAGCAGACTGGGCTCACAAGGGGAGGGGCAGGAGCTCCAACAAGCCGTGTAGGACAGAGTGTGAATACACATACTATACAGAGATGCTGTATGAGAAACCAATGTGAGTTTGGAAAATTGCACAATATAAATCTATTCTAGTAGACCTCAACAATGGAATTATGATCAGTAAAAATGGCCATGACATGGGACCTTTAAGGGTTTGTTGTCATGTAGCTGATGTGACTACTAGGGCTAGCAGTGTAAAATGTGTAAATGCTTCCAAGAGGTTTCCTTGTTCTTAGTGGCTTCAAATTTGGGTCCACACAAACAAGACATTTCATCTATCACATTCCTATAAACATGAGTGCAATACGAAAGCGGTGGCCCTTATGTCTATACACTTATATTGATCCGGCCAGGGATCTAAAATGAAACAGATAACTCGGCAGTAACTGTTTCAGACAGTTTGACACTGAGCAGTGTGACAGTGTGGCTCTCTCTCTCTCTCTCTGCTGACAGCAGGACGAGTGACAGACTCGCAGCAGACGGACATGTCGTCCTCAGGAACTCATCTGATGAGCTCACCTTAGCAACTAGTGTAGAGGACGACATGTCCGTCTGCTGCTGGTCTGTCAAAAGGAAGTCTCTGTGTGGCATGATGACGAGGACAATGTCTTTTAATACAGACACAGATTGTTGTTTTGCGTACTTAAGATCGTAATTCTTACATTTTCTTTTACCAACAAGGGAAGAGACAAACTGCTTTTATTTAAGGGCGGAATTCAGTTTTGGCAAAATACCTCGACATTGATATTGCAAGGATAATGTAGTTTATTTGTATTTGGGTTTTCATAAAATATTTACACACCTGATTTTAATGACTGAGTGCGTAAAGATAAATTAAAAAAATATGTTTTGCACCTAAGCCATTATACTCCATTCTTCAAAATGTAAGACGATAGTTTATAGTATAGTATATAATGTAGTCTCATCTCATAATATTAGTATAATATGGGTGTACGTGGTGCTGCTGCTGACCTTCTCCTCAGTGGACACGGTGAGTTTGTCGCAGGAGATGAGGCTGCACACCTGCTGCAGAGAGAGGCCCAGGAACTCCTCTCCCTGCACCACCTCAGAGAAGTGCTGCTCTGAGAGACACAAACCAGCAGGGTTACACACGCCACACAGCAAATATTTGTATTAAGCTCTGTAACATGCAAATACAATACCCAACAGTGGTCAAGTATCACATTTGTTGTGTGAATTTCAGCATTTAACACTTTCCCTTGGAACATAACACATTCCTTCCAAAGAGGCATTTCTGAGAGCACGCACACACACACACACACACACACACACACACACATTGAGGTGCGAAGCTTACCGGCGTATGCGTGGGCCTGGTCGAGGAGCTGCGTGCATGTGTGCAGGTCAGCGAAGGCTCTGATGCCCAGACAGTTGGTGGGGTGGAGCTGAGACTGCAGGAACTCACAACACACCTGACGCACGTCCATCAGCTGCAGGAGGCTGGCTGCCGGCAGCAGAACCTGAACACAGAGAGAAAGTAATTTTAAACATTTACTGGAAGGAACTGACTTTGGAACCCTTATTCTGGGTAATCTTAATTCAAAATGATCAAAAGTGTTAAAAAACAATTCTTTACCATTCACAGCCAAGCATTTAGAAACATTTGATAGCTTGAAGTCAGATAGCCATCTATTTTTAGTGCAAACTAATCAATACTTTAACAAGCCAGCCAATAACCCCTGTGAATATCACCTTGGTGACAAGACAAGCAGAATATTAATACTCGTATATATCGAATAAAATCCAATACAGATTGTTAGTGGAAGTAAGTTTGCAACATAAATAGAGCGGCTGATTTAACTTTGATCTCTGCAACGTGTATTGCCTGAACATTACTTTTTCATGCAGCTTGGTTTATTTACAACACCTAAGGCGCCGTTTACACGAGGACAAAACTGCTTGTATCTGCATAGTTTCGCGTGCGTAGAGCCCTATTATTTACACGAGGCCGATAGAAACTGACCCCACAAACGATAACGGGTCCCAAGGTGGATAGATTTGCAAACGAAACGCTCTGGGGGGGTCAACCGAGTCCGTGTAATCGCCTCTATACGAATATTTCCTGAAAAAATAACGATAGCCCCGCCTCTCCCCACCTCTCCTGCTCACTGCTGTAGCATGGCCAGTAGCCATCTGTAACGATCAACTATCAAAATAGCTGTGTTAATTAAACGCACAAGGGGTTCTTGAATGAAATAATATTATAAAAGGCAAATCAGAATTGTTAACGCCCAATATACTCCTTAAACAAAATAAACAGAGTCAGATTTCATGCATTGATCCATTATATTGACAAAGGAGCGATCTCACCCGGTGTTTGTAGAGAATATCTCTCTTTCTGAGTGCGTCCTCTCCACGGAGACGTGCTTCTTGGTCGGTCGATGCAATATCCACAGATTCGGTTTCTTTCAGTTAACTTCCCCGTTGCATTTATCCATATATTTACATGCTGAGGAAATTACTATATCCCGCTGAATACCAGCAATCGCCACACACACACTTCCTCCTGTCAGTAGCTACTGCTAGTGCTACTGCTACTGACCATGCTACAGATATTAGTGCAAAATCTACAGCTCCTCTACCACAACCATCAGCAACAAGTGGACATGGAGAATTACATGAACTACATGTTGCTAAATCCACCGCGGGGCATAAACAGAAGGGTAGCCATGGCAACATTGCTGCGGGGCTGCTGCGGAGTCTTCTTCGCTGCTTTTGGTGTATTTTGTGGCGGAAGTTACAGCGCCACTTACAGTCTATGTACTACATATGTACTACAGCGTTTCCAGCAGTCTGGTTTGAACAGACACGTTAAATGAAACGAATGCAGGTGAACGGAAGACTTTTTTGAATACGCATACTGTGCATAAACGCAAACGTTCCCGTGTGCACAACGCCTTAGTCTGTCAGTTAGCAAAGCAGTCAGTGCAGTGTTAAAATCACGATGCTACCAGACAGACACCCATAACTCAATCCTGACACACAATCTTAACTAGGTCAGTGACAGACTGCCTGAGTCTGCACACTCATCATCCTGCGAGTGTGTGTTGTTACGGTCTCCTGTTGTCTGAAGCTGCCCTGAAGCATCATGTCTGCTAAAGGGAAACATCAGGCACTGAAGCTCTGCCGTCACAGCCCATACAGGACTGACGGCAGATTAAAACAACACACATATTGTCTGTTAAAAGGAAAGCTCAGAGAAATTAAAAGTTAAACTAATATTTTACCAAATTTGAGTCAGTAGTCAAAACACAAACAAGTGAGCCAATCAGGCAGGCACGCTGCTAACAGTGGGAGGATTTCCTGCCTCTGTCCATGCACATTTCCTGTGCTAATAATCAGAGGAAGTTTCCTGCCTGCTGCATTCATACAGCCCTGCGTGAGAGCCATGCAGCCTCCACCGACACAAACAAGGCTTCAAACCAGAGCTTCACAGCAAAACTCACAACCATTCCCAGCTCTTACTTCTCTGGTTATAAACACCGTCCTCAGGCAGGTTCATTTTTGGCCTGTCTGAAATTTTACAAAAAATCCAATGATCAGTCCTTAATTGAAGGGTTTATGTTATGATAAGCAAAAACTCTGATCACCCAAAAAAAACTACAACTTTTTTGCTCATGTGGTCCCAGATATAGAGTTATTTATATGCTTTATTGCTTTGAAGACAATAGATTGTATGTTCCTTTAATGGCAGGAGTCTGAAATGTAAAGGCTGTTTCACAAACTAGATTTTCCTTTGTTGTATTATTTTTTCTAATAGTTCACAATTACCACAACAAAATATCAGATCGAAAGGCTAAAATGAATGTGTTCTGAATCAAAGTCGAAGCAAAACAGCATTTAAAAACGGTGTTAACCACTGTACTGCGCACAGAATTCATGGAAATCTCTTTGAAATTCCTGAAAATCCAAATTTTTGGCAGTTATAACCAGCTTGTTATGTTGTTGCTCTGACGTTGGCTTTAAACAAAGACTGCACACAGACAAAGGTCACGACAGCCGCTATAAGATAAGTTTCCTCCTCCAAACCAAGGAAGCTTTATTACTGTGCCCAATGCTTTATAACTGAGCAAAAAGAAAAAGAAAATGTGACAAAAATGAATTGAGTTTAGAAATGCTGTCCCCCAAGCAAAAACAAGTTTGCTTCTTAGAAAGTAATCCCACCAACAGAGGAGAGGAAATGCTGAGATCAAAATCACACAAAGCATCAGAGGATATCCAATGAGATGAGACTGTCACTTTCCCTCAAATTATCCTACTGCTGTTCATATATAAGGCCAAACCTTTAAAAGCTAAACCAGAGACGCAAACACGGTAAAAGCCAGCGTAACACAAGAAGTAAATATCAAGTAAAAACAGGAAAACACTTTTTGAACTCTCTCTCCCTTCCTACTCGCCGCTTCATCAACTCTCTGGCAGCTGTTGAAAAGTAAAAAAATGAAGTCTTATGTCTTACTACTTTTCCCTGAACTTCAGGGTTGGCCGACAAAAATTCATCATCCCTTCACCACTGTATTAAAAGTCGCAGCCTCCCACACACACTCCCTCACCTGGACGTTGTCCTCTGTGACTTCTATTTCAGCCGTGTAGATGTAGTCCACCAGCTTCCTCAGGGTCTGTCCGTCCACCTCTCTGATCTCCACCTGATGGGCTTTGCTCTCACTCATGTCACCTACAAAACACACAGACGTTAGCAAATGCCAGTAGACACACATGCCATTCAACCAATGTGTGTGTGTGTGTGTGTGTGTGTGTGTGTGTACCTGTAAACATGGCACAGAAGTAGGGGCTACAAGACGCCAGGACCACCCTGTGAGCTGGCACTTCAACACTCCCTGCCACCAGCTGGACGTCACACAGCATCTTTTTACTGAAGTATAAAAGAGAAACGGAGAGTGAGATAGAGAATAAAGCGTTGGCAGTGACAAGCCAAGTATTGAGAGGACGGCTGCCAGCAAATGTGCCAAATGAGGTGTTCATTTCCCAGGTTGTATTCAAAGACTCCCGGAGAAATTATGCATTTCCTGTTTTAATATCACTATCAGGCAAGAGTGGCCTACTAGTCTGCTCTGACTTTAATATCAGTCATGATTTTACTTTCTACTGAGGACCACAAGTGAAACAAATATTTGAGTTTTTTGTGATTGAACCCTCAACTATTTAATTACATTTAGGACTGTAATTGCAGTCATTTTACACATAATCAAACATATCCATCATAACCCTATTAGTTTCAGTACATTGCATGTGTTTTTTCAGCTTGTTAGGTTTTCTTTGAAACTGAAACCATCAAAGAACCTGAAAAGTGTGGCGGGCTTTAAAAGCTGCATCATTAGATTGGAGGCATATGGTATTTAATATCAAATATGGAATAACGGCATTAATGCATGTGTGCACTTCGTACACTTAAAAGTATCAAATAAAAAAGGTAAAATTTACATAATTAAATGATATATTAAAATGTTATTCTATTAGACATAGTAACCATTTAAAGCTAAAAGTATGTACTTTGTGTAACATGCAAGAGGCACGTGTTAGACAGGCATACAAACTCAAGCAAAGTACACAGCCAGTAGTTATTTTTATGGTGACATGTGTTTGTGGCCTGATTCTTTCTGTAAGAAACGAACAACACCGTCAGGCACTCACCTCCTCAGCTCGTTCATGAGCTGGAAAGCCTTCCTCATGTGCGTCTGGTTGAAGGTGTGCAGCCCTCCATTCATCGTGTCCTCCTCTGAATCCGTGTTGCAGTTTGGACGCGGCGAGGCCGGCGCGGCCACCAGACTGCTGAGACATGAGAGAAGCAGAATCAGCAAAGATTAATGGCAACCCCACAGTTTATGTTTCATCTCTCGGGTTATGAGATGATGATAAAACAGGGACTTAACACTGAATAACTGTGGTAAAAGTCAAATTGAGTGTTTTAAATAAACTTATTTGGTAGCTGGTGTAAATATTGTGTTATTATTCTGAGAGATAACAATCAAATACGTGGGATCACTGCTAACACTGACCTTTATAAGCAAACCTAAATTAATTATAGGTTTTTTGGTTTGTTAATGTACAATAAAGTGTTTCCTCAATCAGCAGACAGGCCACTCAGTTTAATCTAAATGTGTTTGCACTGTAGGAAAAAGGTTTAATCAGTGTAGTAAAATTGTTGTTTTCTTTATTGCCCATGTTTAGATCCATTATTCGTAAAGTTAATGCAATAATCTAATGGATGTCCCTTTCCTCACTGCACTACATAATCATTCAAGCTTGTCTTTTTGACTGGGGATCCGCTTTTGTTTTCCAAAAATTGCTTGGTTTAATGAGTCACCTTGTTGATAGGGAAAGAGACGATTATATGTACAGTAGTACATATACTACTACTGTGTTCTCACAAGGTGTTTTGTCCACATACTAGTTACAGTTTTGAATAATAATGATGCAGCACTAACAAGCCACATGATAGATAGATAGATAGATAGATAGATAGATAGATAGATAGATAGATAGATAGATAGATAGATAGATAGATAGATAGATAGATAGATAGATAGATAGATAGAAAGCCATGTATCACTAGAATATCCAAAGTGTACACAATATTAAAAGAATACTGAATACTTTCCCCAAAGCAACAGAGATATATAGGAATATACAACAGGAAAAAGAGTATTGTTTTAATTCACAAAGGTACAAATCAGTAAACAATCATGACTCTGACTGAACTGTCTCTTTATATTCAAACATTTTTTTTTAAAGATGGAAAACTATGTTTGTTTGAGTTTCTTGAGCGTCAAGTTGGAAGGCTGGCTAGCTCTTAGCTTTGTCAACCATAAAACTAAACTGCTAAGCTTATGATAGCTCTCGTTAACTCACATTAATTGTAACTTTAAATTGTAGTAATGTCACATTTTGGTTGACGGTCTACACTCGGTATATAAGTATGTTCTTGGTGACAGTTTATCTACATGGTAACTGGCAGGTTGGTTAGCAACTCAACTGCTCCAGCTGGGCAAACCAACGGTGCTAGCTAACTGAAGCTAACTAGTCAACAAGGCTAGCTTCAGTTCGAGTTGCTAGCAGAAAGCTGTTGCACTGTCTGTGGGGTTTATGTCCGGAGGATCATGTGGGGTAAAATGTTATCCAACAGATGTAGAAGCAGCGTGAATCACAGCCTTACAGAATAATCCCCCCTGAGCCAACTCACCCCGGCAGCGACACACCGTCCATCCTCCCAGAGTCAGAAGCAGCAGCAGCGGGCATGAGCGCTGAGTGAGCCGCTGTACAAAGATTGTGTATAACCGAGATGATTCACTGCAGAATCTAAAAACATGGGCATGCAGTTGGACAGACTAGTATGATAATGGTAAAAAGACACATTTATTCCGATCAATCTTAAATCTTGACATCTGGTAGGGGCAGTGGTGTTAAGTAACTAAAGTATACTCAAGTATCTAAGTACACATTTGAGGGACTTGTATTTTACTTGAGTATTTCAATTATTTTGCTATTAGTACTTTTCCCATAGGCGTCATTTGCGCTGGGGACATGTCCCCACCACTTTTTGAAATGGCCAATTTTGTAAAAAGTATAACTTATTCGGGAAAAATAGAATAGAGCACAAAGAAATTTAAAGCAAGAGCACTGCTTTAGTGTCAATATGTGCAATTTGGACATGTTAGTAAACTCTTAATAGAACATGTTAAAAAAAACATTGCTCCCGCTTTGCAGCAGCACTTTAAAAATACTAGTAATGTAAACTAACAACAATTCTTCCTCTACTGACTCTAAAATGACCCAACAACATTCAATTGTCTGCCTGAATTAAATGATGTCTTTTTCTTTTCTTTTCTTTTCAGAGAGTAGCCTACTGGCAGTGTGTTACGGAGACATTTCTGGACAAAGATATCCAGTAACATGCCTCAAAACAGATATTTAAACGACAGTAAACAGGAAAGGTTTGGACATTTCTTCCTGTCAAAACAGCAGATTTTGTTCATGGGACAGACATGTTCTGTCCCATGTCAGCTGACTGGATCCGACCAATAGGAACAGGTTAAATAAAAAAAAGTATTTCAAATCGAGAGACGATTATGAAGATATAAGAAAGTTGTCATTTTAATTTTTAATAAATACATCCACCAACACGAATCCTCTTTTCAAATGTTCCAATAATGTGACTACAATTTGAAAACCATCTTGTTGTAGCCTATCACTCAAGTCCGTGTAGCTCCATTTCAATTGTTGTCTTTCTAAGCAGACTTCAATGCAATATTAAATAACGTCCCTGTCATAAAGTCAAGTTCTACCAAAATCACTTCAAACATCTCCTAACACGTCCTTACAATCTTAACTACAATAATAACATCTGTTTAAGGTATAAAGGCATTTGCGTCAAGGATTTTGTATTTTTTATTGCATTTGCTTAATTTCTGTGAATTTTCTTAAAGCAACTTTTTATTTTTTTAATTATTTTTTATTTTTGTGTCCCTCGGAGATGGGGGGTGTCCTCTTTAGGCTAACAAAATCTCTCAAAACATGAAAACTCACAAAGATAATAAAGGAAATGAAATGAAAATAAAAGTCCTGTACTTTTGTGTATGTTTCTTTCTTAAAGCAGCAAACAGAAATCTTTGGCCCCATTTTAAACACTATTGTAATTGTTATTTTAATGGAAATAAGCCTCGGTACCTTTCCAACTTTACCAAACTTCAGTTTTTTTTCCCTTTTAAAAAAACCCTCCATTCTTACAACAAAACTGTTATCTCGATTGGGACATTCCGGCTATGACTTCATTTCTGAACAACAGCCTGTAGGAAGAGGCTGTTGTCTTTGAGTCAGAATGTGATGGGTTCAATCCCAGCCGTGCAGTTATCATGTTGATTTATCCTAGTGTGTATTGTGCTGCTTGTTAAAGGTCACCTTTTATGCAAAATCCACTTTTTCATGTATTTTATACATAAACATGTGTCCCCTCTGTGTAAAGAGATTTTGAAAGTTTCAGGAAAAAAGATTCGCTCACTTTTTGTCCTGATCCATTTATATAAAAACCTGTCTGAAAATGAGCTGATCAGATATTGGCCACTTTGTGATGTCATAACGATGTTTTGGCTTGTGTAACCATTAGCCAATCACCAACCAAGGTAACCCCCCCCCCACCTTATCACCTGAATCTCCTCCTAGAGCACCATTGTATTCTTGTTAACCAAATATCTCAGATACCCCTTTCACACCAACGCAACTCCGGTTCAAGCTCCGTGCTAGAGCTTTTCAGGTTCGGAACCGGTACTTAGGTTTAGCTCCGGCTCTTTTCACACCGCTCAGAGACCGACTGGTGCTGCCGCTGCTGCGTCATGACGTCACAGTTTACGTCGCTGATTTTCTCCCCAACGGAGCTCACCTCACAACAACAACGGGCCGGGGACTGCGTTGCTTTTAATCATACGAAGCCAGATTAAATTAAATAACGACTTCTCCAACCTTATACTTTTCTCCAGAGTGCCGTGGTTCATTGTTTATTAATGTGTTTCAGCGGCATTTACCGACCGCTGCAGTGCTGGCCGGCTGCTCTTCCACGAGTGTATTCTCCCGTTAGCTCCGGGTTAGCTCACACGGCTCTAAAGTATTCACTGTCTGACTGTCACACAAGCAGCTGATACATATCCCCAGTTCCCCTTAAGTGAATGTGTGTCAGTCTGAATTGATGCTGTTTGGTGTCAGTCTGAATTGACGCTGTTTGGCATCACAACGCTGTTATGAAAGTTTCTCTGGTATAACATGGGTGATGTTAGCATAGCAACCGAAGCTAAACTGACTACTTGCTAAGCCGTTTTCTCCAGGCACTTTTTACCGACGTATTTTTCATTATGATTCTACTTGTGATAGTCGGACATGACAACCTGTGCAGCCCATGTATTGATTCCATCCGATAGCTGCTATAATAACAAACAAAACGTCTGCCTGCTCTCCACAATGACCAATAACAGCGAACGGATGGTCAAAGTAAGGTACAAATAAACAGAATCACACGAAGCCTGGTTAGTGTTGCCTGACTTTATAAAGCGTGTTTTTTTTTTACAAGTGTGTGGTTGCGTTCTAGTCACTTTGCTCAGCACTACTGCTTGTTACAACTTTTATTTGCCGTACTCGCCTTAACTGTTAGCTCAGGTTAATCTCGCCCCCCTCCGATGTAAGCGTGACGTATGCGGTTCTTGCTTCTACACGGACAACTTTTTGGTGCTCGAAACGAACCGGATTCCGGAGTTTAGAGGCTGCTCCGCTGCGGTGTGAACAGGAAAACCCGGTGCTTTTCAAGCACCAGCACCGAACCGGCCCCGAAACACCGTTGGTGTGAATGGGTAGGGGCGTAGGGAGTGGCTCCTTATTTTCATCTAAAGTAAAAGACAGAGAATCAGCACTTTTGAAACAGGGCTGAAACAGAGGGATTATGGGATGCTACAATGATCTGTTTGGTATTTCGAGCAAAACACTTCAAAGACCTGTTTTGTATATATCTAAGACCTATAATATATTGATGAAAAACAGTATAATAGGGGACCTTTACATGTGTGCATTATCTCACTGGAGAAGAGCTTCAAAATCAAAAACCTCAAACCTGTTTGAAATCCCATCCCTTTCACTCCTGTTACTGAGTTTTACATTATAGAAAAACCTTTTTATAGCAACACCATTTTTGACGCTAATAAACATTTATATCTGGCTCTTGAGGGTTCTGAAGTTAAATATACTTCTTACGCCAAATACATCAATAAAAGTAAATCAAAGTTTATTTTAACCCAATATCACAAATTGTACTTTTGTCTCAGCGGGCTTAACAATTTATTTACAGAAGAACATGAAAGCGCCGGAAGTTCCCGGTGCTGTAAGCTTTTAAAAGTATGTATTGAAGAGAGAAAAGTCACTGTGTTGTTTCTCCTTGCACTGTGTACAACTTGACAGAAAGCTTCCAAATAAAAGGGGGACTGTAGTAAAAACAATTATTTGGCTTATTCGTTTCTAAAGTAATCGATTTGGTCAACAACAAAAAAGTAAAAAATTAAAAAATGACATTCCTCAATCCTTAAGTCATTATTTCTTTAAACCTCTACAAACAGTCCAATCCCAAATAAACATACAATGATGCTGTAACTGAACACACACAATCATATCAACATATCAACCCATCAAGTATTTTTTCAACTATTTTTATTGTTCACAGATTTCAGAAACAATTTACTTGTATATAGACATCTTAGTTATGTTGCAAGTCACTGGTGCTTTTGATATATTTATATAAACCTATTTTTCACATGTCAACAGTTGTGTCTGTCCCCATAAATCTCTATCTGTCCTTGCCCTTAGCTGTTTGTTATGTCTGTTTATTTAAATGGAAGACGTTGTGACTATCACTGACAAGGCTGAATTACCAGCTGGACAACAATAAGCTTCAGATCCCATGGATCCCTGAAAAGACAAATATTCATTGCACTCAATTGGATTCATTCAATGATTCGAGGTAATTTGTGGTGGAAATGTGCAACACTGATATGCAATATCAATTTCAGCTGGCATTATTAGATCATCGAGTGGCCATGTCTTGAAGAGAGGCTTTATATTTTGTTCACATAACACATTTCTCTAATAACGATATAATTTATGAGCTTCAAGTCTCAAGTTTTATCCATAAAAGGCATACTGGTTATTCTTAATGGATTTTTTTTAATATATTGGGTTTATTTGAATTCTCATCTTAAATTAGAACTCATCATTGAGATGGAACACAATAATCTATTGGTGTCCTATGTAGCGAACACAAAGTATTGTTGGTTAGAAAAAGCATTGTGCTTCATAGTGAATTACCAGATCTCTCAGGCCGTCTGCAGGAGCACTTACCGTCAGAGCTACTCAAAATTTAACATGAAGAAGCATTCAGTTTTTATGCACCACCCATTTTGAGTTAGTGTGCATCAAAATGATTTTTTTTTTTTTTGCAGGAAGAGGCTGAGAAAGAGGTGAACCTTCACTCTGCTCCTGATTTAATTCACGAATTGCAATTAGAAAAAAATACCACAACTAATCTAATGGATGACAAAAAGTAGGATATGAGTTAAAAAGGAGTTCCCCGTTTGATGGTTTTCAACTTTACTGAAACATGGTAAGAAAAAGCAACCTTTTAAGTTTTACATGTTAAAATTATCCAATTAGGAAAATATGTATATTTGAAAGGGCATTTAATGGGATTACGGTTTTTCCATGGTTATGTTGTTATGAAAATCCA